TGATTTTTTGCCAAACTTGTGTCCCCCTCGAAAACAAAATAGACGGGGCTGAGCGTTTTCCAAAAAAAACTGAGCTGCCAGTAAATGCGTCTGTTTCGTTTTCGATTTGCCACCCTGTATAGGCCAAGCTATAAAAGCGTGTTAAAAATGCTTTATGTTTTGGAAGCAACATGTATACTTGAGAAGACATAGAATATGTGACACCAGCAAGAATCTGTTCGCCTACTTTGCCTCCCGCCTGTCAAATGGGGAAAGGTTTTTTTAAGGATTGTGGTACTTCGGAATTCCCTGGTATTCAAAAATTCATAAAGCAGAATGATAAAAAGGCGGCAATCTCTTCATCTATCATTAATTTGCATTCGATGTATTATTTGCGGCCGCTTTTCCAACGTTGCTGGCGGTTTTTCTATGACTAAGTGGGCTATGAGACAGACAGGCGCCTCTCGCAGACGTGACGTCCTCCAACGTATTCCGTTCGATAACAGAGTCGGAACATATTTCATGAAGGGTCTTTGCGAACAAACATCTCTTAGAAACAACTTTTTTTTTTTTTGGTGAGGGGGGAATGCGTTTACGCACCATACCATAGCCCGAGCTACGGCGTGTGTGGGACTCCAGGTTGTCTTGAGGAGACCACCTAATACCCACTAAACCCTAACCTCCGCGTGGCCCGACTCATCAGCGTCTCGGTAGGCCATGTGTTGTGCGTGACCTGCGGTCTGCTACAACGTCTCCTCATGTGTTTCAGTCTCTGGGAACGCCGGGTTGGTTCCCTTTACCTCGCACATTCTATCGATGTCGTTAAGCGATCATCGATAGAGGGTCTGCTAGGTTCTCTTGAAACTCTTGTTTTCGAAAAATCAAGGGTTTCAAGTCCTCTTACCTATATATTGTTCCTCGTCCTGGTCCTGGTGGGTCCTGGTCGTGGCGGGTCCTGGTCCTCTGCAACCGCGGTTCTCCTAGTCTCCTAGTCAAGGTTCCAGTTAGCGGGTGCCAACTGAGACCTTGGTCTAGGGTACCTGGTTCTGCGGTTGCGAGGCCTCTCGTCCGGATCGTAGTCCATGAGGAATCGTAGCTGCTCGTTCGGGTGGTCCTGAGCTTTCTCGAAGGTTTTCTCCGCTTTTTTCCTCATGTACTCGTGGATGGTGTCCCAATGCAGGTCTCTAAGTAAGGTTGAGTTTCTTACGTAGGATGGTGCACTGGTGGCGATCCGGAGTAGCTTCATCTCTAGAGCAGCAAGTCGCTTGCGGTAGCTGGGAGCAGCGTACCCCCAGACCGCGGAGGCGTAAGCGAGCTGAGGTCTGGCGATGGCCTTGATCAGCCGTAGCTTGGTCGCTAGCGGCATCCGGCTGTGTCTACCCCGTAATGGGTAGAGTTGAGCCATGGCTGCTCTGGTCTTTGCGATGACAGCTTCTATGTGGGCTTTCCAGGTGAGGGACTTGTCAAATACGATCCCCAGATATTTGACTTTGTCGCTCCACTGGTTATCTTCGTCGAAGATGGATGCTCCGAGAGGTCTTGCAATCCTTCTTCGTTGAACGAAGATTGCCTGCGTCTTCTGGACGTTGATGCGGATTTTCCATTTCACGCACCAGTCCTGGATGTGGTCCAGTTCATCCTGTAGTCTCCTACGGATGATCTCGGGTCGTCTATGCTTGGCGGCTATAGCAGTGTCGTCTGCATATAGGGCCAGCATTGTGTCAGCTGTCTTCGGCACATCGTGAGTATAGATGTTGTAGAGCAGGGGGGCTAAGGCTGACCCCTGGGGCACGCCTGCTTCCAGCTGTCGTCTTGTTGAATGGCATGTACCAATCTTCACCGTGAACCATCTTTGTGTTAGATAGCTCTGGATCAGTTGGCACATGTTCCCATCGATTCCGGCGGCTTCCATTTTGGCGATGAGTCCATCGTGCCAAACTCGATCGAAGGCTCGTTCCACGTCCAGCAGGACGAGACCGGTTGTCTCCTGGAGATTGAAGCCGCTGATGATGTTTTCTGTCAGTCGTAGCGCTTGGAGTTCCGTGTTGTGGGAGGATCTGAAGCCGAATTGCTCTGGGGGGAGAAGTTGCAGTTCTTCTGCCTGCTTCTCTAGTCGAACGGCGATAGCCTTTTCGACTGCTTTGCCCATCGAGGAAACCAGGCTGATGGGCCGGTAGTTCTGGGGCAACTTCCGGTAGAAATGACTGTCTATACGTGGCCCGTATACCCCGTTGGCCGATCAATTTCAAAACGAGGTACATACAAAAATTGGAGTCAAGTAGGTTGACTCTACACTTGTGATATGATTTTTCTTGATCTGCATGTCATATAACGTTAAAAAACATAATATACTAAATGAAATAGAAAACACCGACTGCCCTCAGAGCTCGATGTGGAGGGGCGTCCTGAGCGTTGGTCATCTTTCACATCTTCTCGGCCTTCCTGGAACCTTTTCAAGCATTGATTAGCGGTTGGTTCCTTCAGAGAATTGTCTCCGTAAATTTGTTCCAAACACTCAAAAATCTGACGACCATTCTTGCCTAGCTTTGCAAGAAACTTGATGTTGATGCGGTGTTCCTCGATCAGAGAGAGATTCATGCCAACGGGAGGTAAAAAAGGGTTACTTTCAACAAGCTCACCTAAATCCTACGTACTCACGTGCTAAATTATATTTTCATGCCCCCCTTCAATAAGTACAAAAAAAAAACGCACATTATATAGGTACGAAGACTTTTATTTTAATTCTAATAAAGAAACTTTAAAAGTTTAAATAAACTAATAAATGTTTTTTATCGAAAAACTCGAATGAAATAAGAGTAGGTACTAATGAGACACTTGGGATTGCATGTTCTGTACCAGTTGGTTGATTCTAGGTTCTGTTTTCGCTATCGACATCAAGACGATTTTGCTGTTTAGTTTTAATTGTTAAAAGATGGAAGTCTTTTTTCTTGGACGAATCAGCCTTCATTTCTAGAAAATCTTCCTGAACTTCTTCTGCTAATTGTGATACATCGACAACAAATGGATTTCTTGTCATGTGCCATATTGGTGATTCTGAATTGATGTCTCGATCGAAATCCGTCTTCCAGCGCTTGCAAATGAGTTTTTATGTCAGCTTTTGAATTTGCGTCCAGTATCTCATTTTTAATTGCTTCAAACAGCCGAGAAAAAGATATAACATTTTCAGAAGACACTTTTCGATTGCAAAGTTGAAGCTTTGATATGAACCCCTGAATACAGGGTGTTTCAGTTTATTGTTGCATAACTTTAAGATTCGATATAACTTTTAAAATTAATGCATAAAGTCTATATAAACATGGGTCGAAAAATGCGTGGCTTCCGAAATACAGGGTGTTTAAATTTACTTTCTAAAATAGTTTTTTTAAAATATTTCGAACAATATTTGATGTATAACAGTGAAAATTGGTATACAAGGGTTTTTTGGTACGATAAAACGAACCATGGGCATAGTTTTACTGTAGCCGCTAGAGGGCGCTCTCTACTGTACCTGTAGTGTATTAAAATGACCAAAAATTTTTTCTTAGTGCAATTTTTTGCTTTTTGAATAAAAAAACTGATTCCTCGCACTTTTCAACATAAAAATGCTCTCTTGTGAATTTTCGTTATAGTTAGCCGTTTTTGAGATATTTCGATTTTTAAGGTTCGATGCATTTTTAATTATTTATGATAAAATAACGTTAAAAAGTCAGTATCTCGATAATTTCAAGAGGTAGGCTGTGCCTGCAAATATTTTTGAAATTGAAAGCAGAATAAGGTTAAACGTCCATTAGTTGACAGTTAGTTTTGTTGTCTGTTGAAACCTGAAACGTTTTTTTGCAATTGTGAATGCACGAAATTTAGTTTCTTTTACCTGTTTTTTTTTTGTAAGTTTTATAAAAATGCCATTTTTATTCTCCAATCAAGGGTTAGCGGATATTCATTTTGTTCGTCAGCGCAGATTTACCCGTATGATTCTGCGTGAGTTTGATAGAGATCCGACCACAAGTGTTAGGAGAGTTTCTGGTGTCTTGGGAATTTCAGCAAGCCATGTTCACCGTGTTCTTAGAAATGATCATAATCAACATATTTGGTCGGATGAAAATCCGCATGCAGTTCGGGAAAAAAATTTTCAGCATGAATTTAGTGTGAACGTGTGGATTGGTATCTACCGTAATCGACTATTTGTACCCTACCTTTTGCCTGCAAGGTTAAATGCTGCGACCTTCTTGGAATTTTTAAAGGCTGAACATGCAAATATGTGGGATGATTATATGCTAGATTTAAGAAGATTGGCCTGGTTCCAGCTTGATGGTTGTCCAGCTCATTATTCGAGAATAGTTAGAAACTGGCTGGACGAAAACTATCCAGAAAGATGGATCGGCCGTGGAGGACCAGTCGCCTGGCCACCACGATCCCCTGACCTAAATCCATTAGATTTCTTTGTGTGGAGATTTCTAAAAGAAAAAGTGTACCAGACTCCCGTAAGCACAAGAGATATGCTAATAGACAGAATCAGGAATGCATGTGATGAAATAAGGCCTTATTTGAATAATGCTATACCACGTTCGATCATTCGTAGATGTGAATTGTGAACAATTGGGTTTACATTTCGAGCAACTACTTTAGATTTTGTATGTTTGTCCTCACTATCCAATAGCTTTTTAGTTGTAAATAATTAAATTAATTTGTTAAAAATAATATTGGACAATTAAACAAATTAATACTCTGTTTTTTGTGTTTATTTGTAGTTAGGAATTATTGCTGTATTTAAAAACACAATCTAAACGATCATCTTAATTACTTGTAATGCCCAAAGCGAAAATGTAAAAAAAATATTATTTTCCCATAAATAATTAAAAATGCATCGAACCTTAAAAATCGAAATATCTCAAACACGGCTAACTATAACGAAAACTCACAGGAGAGCTTTTTTATGTTGAAAAGTGCGAAGAATCAGTTTTTTTAGCGACGCATTTTTCGACCCATGTTTATATAGACTTTATGCATTAATTTTAAAAGTTCTATCGAATCTTAAAGTTATGCAACAATAAACTGAAACACCCTGTACAATCATAATTGCTTATTATAGTGTTCTTTCTGCCATGAAGTTTCAAGTTTAGCTCATTCAAGGAGTCAAATATGTCAGTTAAATAAGCCGACCTCCATTGAAATGTGTCATCTTTGAACATTGTCAAGAAATCGTGTTCTTCTTTTAACTGAAAGAAAATAATTACCTCTTCTTTCAGTTCATAAAGGCGGGCCAACATGTTGCCTCTGGACAGCCAGCGTACTTCTTTACGGAACAGAAGAACTTTGTGATCAGAATCGAGATCCTCGCAAAGTCAAGTAAATAACCGACTGTTCAAAGCGCTGCTCTTGATGTAGTTTACAATCCTTATAGCAGAGTCCAAAGTCTGGCGTAATTTCTGTGGCAATGTTTTGGAAGCCTAAGCTTTCCGATTGATAACACAATGTGTACTAACCATTGCAGGATTTTTTTCCTTGAGCTTTTTAGCTAAGCCCGATCGTACACCTATCATTGCAGGAGCGCCATCTGTGCAAAGTCCAATGAGTTTCTTCCAATCCAAATATTTTTTTTCAACATAATTTGATATTGAATTAAATATATCTTCAGATGTAGTACCTGCTGTCAAAGATTGAGAGTACAAAATCTCTTCGCCGATGTAACAAACATAAACTATAAACTGTGCACAATTAACGATGTCGGTGGCTTCATCGCAACTAATGGAAAAAATGGCGATAATTTTACTTTGTTAATTATTTGTGACTTTATGTCTGCTGCAATGTCATCGATTCTACGCTTGACTGTGTTATTCCAAAGAGAAATAGACTTCATTTTTTGCTCTGCATCTCCTCCTAAAATTATTTGCGTGGCTTTTAGGACACATGGCTTTATTAAGTCTTCACCGATAGTACGAGATTTCTTTTGCTTTGCTATCACAAAAGCTATTTCAAATGAAGCTTTTAGATGCTGCGATACACCTGTGTGTTCCCGATTTATCCAGTCTCATCCGCTTGAGTGATTCTGCTTTAGAAGAAAAAACTCTTTCGTCTTCAAAACCACAGTAGGATGTTGTTGCTTCAAATGCCTTTCAATGCGATTGGGCCTCATGCTATCATTACTTAAAACTTCCGTACATATCACACACTGAGGCAATTGCAACTCGTCTTTTTCTATGAAGGTAAATCCAAACTTAACGCGATCTTCGGAAAACTTTCTTTTTTTCGCTGCCATTTTGCACCTATAACAATAAAACAAATAGATAATAAATAAATAAGCAAAATAACTACATGTTATTACTAATTATATCCCCATTATTTTATCTTAATAACGTAATGTATTCAACAGTATATTGGCCTCCGGGAGATTTATATTAGGTACTTAAAGTTCGTCATTTCAAAATCATTTCGCCACGTTGGTTTGATTGTGATATGGTAAACAAGTCCCAATGGCCGCGTCTCCACTCAATCAACAATTCAGTAAATTAAATAAAAATGGTAACTGACGTTTGTAAATACACAAACTTACCTTTTAACAGTGAGACAATAATTTGACACACTCAAACAGATTTCTGAACAAAACATGTACATGGAAACGTCAAATTTTTCGCACACAATTGTGTTCTAAGTGATGAATCTCACGTCGAGCGCGGCGGGGGTGCGCGAGGATTTCATGTTGTGACTTTTTGAAACTTGTATAAACTGCGATTGACGACGCCGGGTTTTGAAACAGCGGTTGACAGAATATGTGAATATGATATTTAATTACATTGTAATCTTGTTTGTTTATTTTTTTTGTTTATAAAATGCAAACGCTTTTCGTCCGCCTTGACATCTCTCTCTGCCCCCTTGGGAGGCGCGCCCCCCTGGTTGGGAACTCCTGGCATAGAGCCTAGAGGACCGCCCCTCCACAACGCCTTGACACGACGCCCCGAATTTTTTATACGCATTTTCTGGACCTCGTATTGGTACGTCGCTGGCAACTGTATTTGCTTTCACCGCTGTGAAGCCTTAGGCAAGTTTCCAGTCTTATGTTACATGTACTCCACGAAACCCGCATGACCTTGCGGCATTGTACTTGCTATTTGGAACGAAACAAAATCGATTCAGTTTGTCCGCTACAAAGCTAAATCGGGGTATACTTTGAAGTTTGTAGATGTTAACATTGTTAAGAAAATCTTTTTGATAATAGCGGACGAACTGTTAATAAAAGATGAGACCTCTTCAATCCGACGGTCACGATAAGTGGTGCTGCAGTTACGTCAGGTGCGGGTCAAGTAGCGCTACTTTGGGCGTTATCTATCGAGGAGTGGAAGTTCTTAGTCTAATGCAGAGGGTTACATGTCCGAGCAGTCGGCAGTATCGCATTGGTTTCGAAAAAGGTTTTAACAATAGTTTCAGGATATCAAAAAAGAAATTGGCGGATTACCTAGATAATAAGTCATAGGTCATTTGGAGGTCAGGTTAAATAGAGACCACCGTTTTGTACAGCAGATTCATGTGAGGCTTGAGGTTCCAGATTAGAATACGTTTTCATTCGTGACGGTAAGAGGCCACAAGTGGTTCAAATACAAACATGCAATCTGACGTAGAATCTCGAGCTCCATACGAATCTGCTGTCAAAAATGATGGTTGCAATTTGAATTAACCGACTGGAAACGATCTCTGCAGTTATCGAGATCACATTGGAAGTAATTGATTCACTGGTTTTACTTCCTACGCCACTGGCGAGGAAGTATTGTAACCGCGAAGAATCATATGACATGCACGTCACGAAACGTGTGTCACTTATTTCCATCGGTCTGTCTGTTTGTCTGTCGGTTTGTCCGCTAATCTTTGACCCGTCTATAACTTGACAAGTATCGCTGGGATGTGGATGGAATGTTCACACAAGGTTACTAGATAGACAGACTGATGGAAATGAGTGACATGGTTTTTAGAGATGTACATGTCGTATACGTAACATCTTATTTTCGAAATTTTTCGTGAATACAGGTACACTACCTTCTGGCAGTGACATAGTAAAAGTATGTTGTCCAGTTTTCTGGGTCTTCGTCTATTTTTCAGAAGTAGGTCATTCTAATTGGACGGCTAATGACCACTTGCCCTGTTGCATAAAAGTGCGATCTGATTTAGAATCTCGAACCTTCCCCGATTCGACTTTAAAAAATGGTGGAATCTATAATTTTCAAACTATACCATCAAATGACCTGGAAGTCCGCGATTCAAATAAACAGTTCAACTATTTCTATTGAGATGTTTAATTGTTTTAAATGTACCTTTTCTACATAAACTAAATTACCTAAACTAATTAATAAAACTTGTACATAGCTTGCAATTTTCAAGCAAATTGGTTTAACAGAATGTCCCTTTCAATTAAACTGGTGCCAGGTTAATTAAAACGAATAATTTAGTTACTTAGAGTAATTGCAGGTAATGAAAATCTTCCAGAACAGTTGTTTCATTGACCACGCAGCTATAAATAGTTATCCCAGCTTCTTCTCAGATATATTTTAGTTTATTCGCTGACTCCTGATTTACATCTTGCTCGGTTTTATCAAAGCTCAAGCTTCTTATCGCCTGAAGAACTACAGAATATAAAACAAATGTTTCCTCTTTCGGTTTCTTATTCACAACACGGACAAGCAGATTGCTTTTTAAGTCTCTCATCAAGGCATAAATAGCAACGCCTACATCTAGCGTAAATTATGTCTTCCCCGTCTTCCTCCGTGTTCTTTGTGGTTATAATAGACGCTCGGGCCTGCTGGAGAGCAATTCTGCACATCACCGGGTAGACGATATTGCTATTCCTCTGAAGACAGTAGATGGTGGAGCAGTTTTGCGTCATTCCACATATCAAATGCTGAGAAAATAGAAATGCTTTGATAACAAAACAATCTCCATTACTGGCACTACTAAATGAATACGTTACTGAAAGTCGCGGTTTTGTATCAGCAGGCATACTTAGCACGATTTTTTGTACAATTTCGGTTCTTCAATACATTTGAATGTTCTCGGCTGTCCCAAAACGAGTTCTCTTGAGGTGATTTTTCAACTTCGGGAAGAGAAAAAAGTCACATTGCCTCAAGTCAGACGAATAAGGAGGCTGACCAGCAACAGGAATGTTTTCACTGGCCAAAAACTGGTTTACTGACTTTGCTATGTGACAACAACCTGTTGTTCTTGATCTGATGAAGGGAGATGCGTCGTCAAATTTAACCCTTCCCCGATCATTTTGACTTTCAACCGATGATCTGAAAACACAAGATCCAGGATTCTGTCGATATTTTCATAGGTTTTTGAAGATGAAGGCCTTCCGCTTCAAGGTTCAATCTTCAATCAACTCTTTCCCGTCTGAAAATGCCTTAAACCACCGAAAAACCTGAGCTGTTTAGCAAGAGTTTCCGTTACACTGTGCCCAAATCTTGAAATTGATGTCACTAATTTTTATAACACAATAGGAAAAGTGGTTTCCCAAAAAAAAAATCGCTAAGGTCAGCCAAATGACTCGAGCGAATGCAAACTCGTACTGAAGACGGATCACATATTGCTCTGTCTCCCCTCCAGTGTTGCCAGACCGAACGGTTCGTTGCCAGTGTCATTACTTAATGTACAGACCTCGTATTTCCAGATAAAGTATGTAAGTCAATGGTATAACACAAGAGTATGAAGGTTCTATAAATTTAGTTTCAAAATTGGATAGCCGATGATGACGAATGGAAATATATTAAGTGACATATAAATCCGAACACCCAGTTTAAATGGTTTTATTTTAATAAAATTTTGTATAAGTACTTAATGAAGCATAATAAGTAAATGATAAAAATTGCAAAATGATTGCACTGCTTTAAAGCCCTTTGACCTTTAATAATGTGTGGATGCACCCTGATGTGCTACGCATTCTCCAACGCGCCTAGGCATGCTTCTGATCAGGTGGTCAATGTCCTCCTGTGGTATCTCATTCCAGGCAACCACCAACTCCTCTCGAAGTGCTTCTAGAGTCTGAGGAGGATGTTGCAAACTGAGCAATCTCCTACCCATCATATCCCACACGTGCTCAATTGGGGATAAGTTAGGTGATCTTGGTGGCCATGGTAACAATGTGACATCATTATGTTGAAAGAAGTCTATTGTGACTCTTGCAACATGTGGTCGGGCATTATCTTGTTGGAAAGTTGGATCTGCCAGGGTGTCAAGATGGGGTTCTAGAACTTCGTGGATATAACGCTGCGCGTTCATGTTACCTCTGATGAAGATTAAATGTGACCTGGAACCATAAGCTATAGCACCCCAAACCATAACTCCAACAGTGTGATGAACATGTCTTTCAACAAAAAACTGTGGATTCCTCCTTTCACCACGTCGCCTTCTAACCCTGGCACGACCATCGTGCATGCCTAAACAAAATCGAGACTCGTCACTAAAGACAATACTGTTCCATTCCTGATCCCAGAGTGACCGTTGTCTGCACCACTCAAGGCGATTACGTCGGTGTTCTCGAGTTAAAGGGAGGACCCAGTGTGGCCGGTATGAAAACAAGCCAAAACTTCTCATTCGTCGGTAAACACTTCGCATGCCAATAGGTCTTCCGTGTTCTGCAAACCATTCATTTGCAATGGACCTGGTAGTGGAGAAACGGTCCCTTAAGGCCAATAATCTTAGGCGGCGATCTTCACGGTCTGTGGTTCTACGGCGGCGCGGCGTCCAGTGCCCCTTGCTCTTTGCGTACGGCCTTCTCGAAGCCATGCCTGAAAACACCTAACCACAGTGTCTACACTTCTTTGCACTCTAACTGCAATTGCCCGAAAAGAAACTCACTAAGTTGACGAAATCGTACAGGTCTCCGTACTCTAGGCATCGTAACCGATCGTAAAGGATGTCAAGAACCAAAATCCGCCAACGTTGATTCTTTACTGCGGCTGAAATATTCATTTTCAGAGCGTTAGTAAATTAAAAAAAAAGCAGTATAAAAACCGGAATGTCCAACTGATAAGGCTGAAAATTTTTTCACTTGTTGTTTACAGTAAGATAAATACATTCACTAACTTTTATTAAAATAAAACCATTTAAACTGGGTGTTCGGATTTATATGTCACTTAGTATAGAACTTGTGGACAAAAAGTCAGCTTTAGACTACAGATTTCAGATATACCACATTTTATCCTTTGTCATAAAATTATTCTATCAATAATTGCTTACTTTTCTTGGCATGTAATCTACCATCTGAGTGATATGAATAATGAATACCTACGTCTTTTTCATATACTTGCAAAGAAATGATGAATGTGTATATCATCAGGTTTACATCTTATATCTAGTGTATTCCTATTGTCTTCGATGTTATTGTCTATTAGAAAATGAACGGTACTATTCCACTGCGCTGGTTTGTCTCGCTCAAGTGCATCACCAAATTAATCGTTACATCTCAGAGTACTAATTATGTGATCATTCCTGGTGCTCTCCGGTACTTAGTGTGTTCACTCAGTAAATATCTACAAATTGGTACCGCTTATTAACAGCTTGTTAACTGCAGGTATTTTCCCGGAATCCGGTTTCAATTTTCTATTTTAAAAATTCTTTCGATATGCCCCTAAAATCGATAAGCTATATAAACATTACCATGCAAACTTCCATCCTAATTTGCGGGGTCTCCTCTTCATCCTTCAACGTCAAAGCGGGTGAACTCCAGGGATCGGACCAGTCTCCGACACTGTTCTTCTTGCATATTAACAACCTCCTTTCCTGTACGATCAATCCAATCCGCAGCTCTGCTGATGACAGCACTTTACATGCAGGCAGTCAGCGACAAGCCGATCTCTGCTGGTGAGCGGCAACTTCCTCTCCGACGAGAGACCTGGACGTTATCATTCCTTGGGGACGCATCAATGTTTAATGTTTCCAAACCACCTTGACGAAAAAAAAAGCGCCCTAGCGCTCATCCGGTTTCGATGGATGGCCGAGCTCTGCTAAAGCAGGCGTTTAATTCGGCTGGTCGGAGTTTAGATCACCGGAGGAGTCGTAATAGGCAAAGCAAGAAGCTTAGAATGGACTTACAGTATATTCAGATAAGAGATAGACCGGACATAAACAAGACCACGTGATCATCGAACGCTGTAACATTCGGCAGGGACGTATTAAGAGTCACGCAGTACATATTTTAGATAGTAGATGCTGCTTTGCGTAACTTTGTAGTAAATTAGCACAATTCGATGTGTATACGATTGGTGATGGATATAGGATCATGTGGGGGTGGGGTAAGAAATATATAATGATGTAAATATACATAAGGGTTTCAAAATTTTCGCTTCGATTTCCAGCTTCGGATGCCGCCTGATGTTTGGTGAAATACAGTCGAATATAATCTCAAAATGGCGTTTAAATTAGCCTAAATTAAAAATAATCGTATATCTCTTAAAATTGCTTTAAGAATATTGATTAGTATATTTTTTGATTTCTAGGTAAATATGTAACCAAATTAAAACGTTCAAAACGTAAAAAAATGTGCATGGTTGAACATTGTCAGAAAGTAGATTCTTGAATAGGTTTTGCCAAAATGGGTTCAAAAATGTCAATAATTAATTAAAAAATACAGTAGCTTTATAATTACTTATAACTTACCGAATTTGATGAACGACATCTTTTATTGGAAAGATGAGCTTGATGAGCTTTCATCATCGCTACTGCCTGAAGCACCAACGTCAATAATGAATGGCTCGACTTGTTCCTCTAAAATATTGTCCAGTTCCCACATTCTCTTTTCAACTTTGTCTTTCACGTGCTTAATACAGTTTTCCCATTTTTGCGCTGTTATTAATTCTAGTGCTTCTTTGAAAAGTCCTTTGAGGTCACAAAATTTAAAAGTTGTATTGTGCTTAGCTATATAATTTTTAACCTCTGCCCATATGAGCTCAATGGGATTGAGCTTGCAATGGTATGGAGGTAAACGGAGCACAGTTTTATTTTGACTTGCTGCCATTTCGTCAATGGCGTATTTTTGATATTCCGCCTTGTGATCCTTGGCAATTCTTAATAATTGTACTTTCAGCATTGCTTCTTCAAAGTTGATATTTTTCGAGCGGAGCCAATTTTGAACATCAACTTTCCGTGAAGCCGTTGTTGGGACCTTCTCCATTCTTCGAGAATGATAAGGCGCATTATCCAACACAATTACTGCGTTTTCCTCTAAGTTCGGTAAAATTTTTGAAAACCACTGTTCAAACGATTCGCCATTCATTTCCTCGTGGTGATCTCCAGTTTTCTTAGACTCAAAGCACCACAGACCGTCAACAACAAATCCATCCTCACTGCCAATATGGCAGATAATGAGCCTTTTCCCTTTACCTGGAAATCGAAGTACTAACTGGTGTAGATTTATTTCAATAAGCGAACCTTTTTCAAATGTTTTCATCACATTCAGCGAAAAAACATTGAGACATGAGTATCAGATTGCTAAAATTGGGATTATTTAGTCATATTGAAAGAAAGAATATTGAACGTCGTATGATTACTCAGCGCTTCACAATTTAATTTAAAGTTATAAACCTTTAAAAAATGAATGATCAGGAACCTGAAATACGCGCAAATATTAATATTAACAAATTATAACTTTATAAAGCTTAAAGTATGAATTAAAATGATTAGAAATATTAGGAACGGTACACAATATAAAACTTAGTAACTTTTTTTAAGTTTATAATATTCGACATATTTTAAGATTATATTAAAAATTATTGAAATATCGAAAACACATAAAAACATGGCTTAAAAAAGTTCTAACAAATGAAAATGACAATAAAACATCCACGCATTTTATCGAAAGTTATAAAAGTTTTGTTACTTGTAATATGTTTTATCTGCCCCCTGGAATTAATGTTTAGAACCTTGTTCCCAAGGTTTGAAAAACATCCGATTGTTGTCTATTACTCGTATTTACCTGCTGGATTTTTTAATCCGGTGGACAGTCCATCTAGAAAGGCCCTCCTGGATGAAGTTACAGAATCATCAACCCATACTTTACTTGTAGTGTGTCCTGCGTTTACCCACGATTCATCAAGGTAATAAATCTTCCCAATTTTTGTTAAATAATCCCTCCTCCATAGCACAATTTCTTCTCTATCCAGTAGTAAACTATTACGACCCCGTTTTTTCCATTTGAAATTTAAATGCTTCAGTAACGCATGGAAAGTGGATCGTTTGAAATTTGGCAACGTTGTATCTCCATTTACCTCCTGCAGTACTTTATCTATAGTAGGTATTTCATTCCTAAAGAAGAATTCATGCACTTTCCTCCTAATCGCATGCTTATCAGCTTCATCCAATGATTTAACAATACTTTTGCGATGTTTACTGGTCATTGGCTCAGAAAAGGTGTGATTTTTTTTGTATTGTCTTAACACATTAAACACTGATGCGCGACACACCCCAACTTTGTGAGAAACCTTCACAACAATTTCTTTGATGGTTGATGCCTCGTTCTCCTCGCGCTCGATCTTATATATATTCAAAATGACCTCTTTCATTTCTGAACTCAGGTGTCTTTTTTTAGAGCGTTTCCTAGGTGGACTACAGGAGTTTACAACTTCATCGGCAGTATCTGTACTACTGGGCATTTTGCGCAAGCAGTTGATAACAATAACAAGGTATAACAATAACAACGACCGGTCTATCTCTTATCTGAATATACTGTAGACAAGGGGATGTTGAATAAACGCTGCATCGAATGATTGGGATTCTCAAAGCTAGTGCATATAAACAGATCGGTCCCTTAGAAGAATAGGAAAAGGTGAAACACGATTCAACTTCATATCAAGTGCGCTTGATATCGAGACCTGAAAACTAGGATATTCGATATGACGAAGTTTTAATGCTGTTGTAAAACTTAGCGGTGCTATTCGGGATGTAGGAAAATCGCTATTTTAATAAAGAGAGTTTTAAAAGTGTTACTCCCATAAGGTTACCTCAAGGAGGAACGTCGTTTCTTTGTCGAATTCTGTCACAGGTACTACGTGTCTTAAAAAGTGACAGTATGTCGATTTTTTTTACATTGGGGTTTTTCTACAAGATGTTAACTTAGTATTAGCTGATAGACACGTTGTGAACTCGATTTGTAGTTTTACGCGTTGCCTACACGTCCTGAGGCTTCAGTTATCAATGTTTGGCTTTGATGTGATGAAAAATCTGCATCAGAGATGGCATTACTGGAGGTAACGGCAATGCATAGGTGCATAGTGAGTATTTGTGTTCTAATAATATGTGTTGATGATACTTCCATTGGATTCTCGACTAAAATACACATACTTGAGATTCAAAGCTAGACATTAGTTGCGCATCCAGTTTTTCTTATCCATTCTAGAAATTAAATATGCAAATTTGTTGAATTTCAAAAGATTAGATAAGAAATAACTATATTAACTGTACACTGTCGAATTACAAGTCATTTACGTGCTAACAGTAGTTACACACAAACCGGGCGCGGTGGTGATTTCCAGTAATTCTCCTCAAACTTTTTGAAAGCACAAAGAAACGTAAAAAATCAAATTTATAATGTTGAACATAAACTGTCTTCAAAAAGGGCAACCCATAAATAACCCGTCGGGATTTTATACACATGCAGACCATTACACATCCAGTTTCTTCTCAGAGATGAAAACTACAGACTACTCGGCTTCACAAAACATATGCAACCAATAATGCGTGTAGTTGAGCCATTCCTCCATAGATGGACGCTCACAACGATCCCAGTGTGCAAACGTGGAATGACTGTTTGCAGCCTAAAAACTACGTAGTCCGCAAGATGACAGCTTATAGCTTTTTTTTGACGTTTTATAGGTTTTTTATGAAGAAAAGATGTGATTAAAATTACCAAAAATTATTGTACTGTCCACCTACTCTCGCACTCGAGCATTGGATGTTTGTAAATAGTCCGAAACTGAAAATCGTTTATTTGTCTTATTTATAATTCAATAAACATTTCCACCTTTTCACCGTTGCTGCGTAGGAACTGAAAATGCAAATAAACTGTTGTTTTCATATTTCCTGTGCATAACACCAATCTTATTTGCATTTCGTTATTTCAAGCCGGCTAGGCGACCTACCCAGAGGCGAGTACATGATCGCAAACCTTGAATTTATATTTATTCGTCCATTTTTTATCTATTTTCGTAATTGTCTCAGAATAATGACATCATTCTAACAGTGCAAGTGCCTAGAATAGACGCTTAACGGGATTGCAAGAACGTCACGTCGTCGTCAAGATGATTTTGGGCATGTGGAATTAGGGTTCAATGCTAATTTCTTGCTATTGTACGAGGCAACATCGAGTGATATGGGGCATAGCATTTAAATCAGAGTTCCCCAAACTTTTTTGTGTCGTAGACCCCTTGCCATGTTTTTCCGTGTTCGGTAGACCCCCTACTTACCTGATATTGATTTCCTGTAAATTTCTAACTGTAGTGAAGTTTAGTGTTAAAAACTTAAAGTAAAAACACATGTTAATTTATACATTTATTAATTGAATTTAAATTAAAACTACTCAAAACAAAATTTTGTATCTGTTATGTAAAATATACGTAACATTAAATAAACAGGTGTCTGACCAATTGGGAATAAGTGCCCGCATTGAAAAAAATAAGAGGGATAAAATAAAAAAAAGTGAAAAATAATAAAAAAAAAGTTTTTTACTTAAAATAGTTCGTTTATTAATTATAACATAAACGTATGTTCTACAATAATTTCACTGTTAGTTTGATTAAATTCCGCTTCTTATACGTTTAAGTCATCTAAAAATAGGCAAAAAATTAACGAATTTTAGTGTGTACCTATCCTTGAATTTTCAGAATAATTTAAAAAAAAATATTTTCTATAAAGGGGGTTCTTTAAAAAAATCAATGCGGGCACTTATTCCCAATGCGGGCATTTATTGGTCAGACACCAATAAACATAAAATAAACTATAAATAAAATAACATAAGCAATAAGTCAATATTTTTAGTGAGAAGGATGAACCTGATGCTTTAATAATAAATTGTCAATATTTGGCGTCAATTTTGTAACGGTTAATCTTAAATCTCCTCGGCTAATGATGTCCAGTCTGTTTCTTTTTTTCGTTAGGAGATTGGTAACAGCGCTGAACCCCCTTTCCACTAGGTATGACGATGGAAAGGAAATTAAAATTTCCTCGCTATATATTCCATAACACGGGATAAGTAACGGGTATGTTGTTTTGCAGCCAGAATTGCTGATATCCGTTTTGAAACTGAACTTTAAGTTCTTCGTTTGTACTTAGTTCAGTCAGTTCCTCTTGTATTATGACATTCGTTTCTTCTATGTCACCATATGGATTAATTATCCACGGTGGTATTACCATAGTCAAAATATCCTCAAACCTAGATTCAAAATCTGAATAGAGGGCATTTAAATGTTGAACGTAAGTTGAAACGTCGTCTTCCTGGCAGCTTGTCTGTGACAAATTGGGGAACTGAGAAAATTCGCCCCGTCCAATATTTTGCTTCATTAGTTTAACACTGGCAAGAAACGCTGATAAGATGGACTTTGTTTTAATCAACTTTAAACTGTCGCCTTGTAATTGCAAATTAACCATATTAAATTTTGTAAACAAATCTGTTAAATAGGCGATGTCTGTTTTCCTCTTCATTAAATTTTCTTTTAAAATTTCATCTTTAATATCCAGAAATTCTAAAATAGTCTCAAAAAGTGCAAAAAATCTTGTCAAACATAAGCCTTTCGACAGCCAGCGTACAGTGTGAAGGAGTAATTGATGAAAGTGTTCGTCATTTTCTTCACACAACTGCGCAAATAACTGCGTATTCAACGCGTTGCTTCGGATTCGGTTTACTGCATCAATGACTAAATGATGTGATTCATACAATCTAACACTCAAATTTTTAGCAACTAAATGTTGTCGATGGATGACGCAATGTATTGCTAACACCCCTGACACATTTTGTTTTAAATAGCTTATAAAACCACGATAACGTCCAACCATGGCAGATGCTCCATCTGTAGCTACTGATATTATATTTGATAAAGGAATTGCTTTTTCAATGAAGTAATCCTTTAAAACATGAAATATTGATTCACCTTTAGTGTCGGTTATCAAAGTTCTTGCGAAGAGCAGTTCTTCGTAGATTTCTTGATTCATAATAAAACGAACATATGCCAATAATAATGCTGCATTATCAGATAAAGTTGACTCGTCCATTTGTATAGAGAAATGGGTCGTTTCCAAATAATAGCATAAGAAGCTTTCAATATCAGAACTCATTTCATCAATACGTCTTTCAACAGTATTGTTGCTTAAGGGAATTCTTTTAATGATATCAGATGCAGGTTTGTGTAAAACAGTTTTTAAAACCTCTTCAACGGCTGGTAAAATTAACTTCTCTCCGATAGTATTTATACGGTTTCCGGATTTTGCTATAAGTAACGAGATATTGTAAGACGCCCACAAACCATCATCATTTCTTTGTGACGTCAAAGCGAACATTCTGTCCAGTGTAGGTCTCTTCTGAAATTTATCTTTGAGTGTTTGAAAGTATTTCCAATCTTTCTCTGTTTTATCAGGGTGGCATCTTCTCAGATGATCTTGCAGTTTAGATAGTTTCATAGCGTCTTTGCCCAAAACTTTGTTGCATAAAAGGCACATAGGCGATTGTTTGTCCGGCAATGATGGAATGAAGCCAAATTTCAAATAATCAACACTGTACTGTCTACATTTCTTTTTAGATTCGGACATGGCATCAGTCATCTGTGGGCAAAATTAAATTATTTAAATAAGACAGAAAATCCAGCAGCTGTATATTAAAAATATTTTTTGATTTTTCCGAAAACATTCCATAATTCGAACATCTTCTCAATTCGCTTGAATTACGGAGATTGCACTGTAATTATATTACCGATTGCTAAAACTTTCAAAAAGAAACTATTGAGGAGTACTCGTGTAATTTTGCATGATTGAATATTTAACTACTAATAACTAAAGTCATGATTGGCGTAATTTATCTATATTTGCTAACTACGAGTACAAAACTAAAATTTAATAAAAAATAATGTACTTACTTTTCTCCATCACTCTCAAACAAAATAACACTGATTCACTATAATTTGTGTGATATACTATCTGTTTATATTTTTAAAATATTTTCTTAGCACTTTCCTTTTCAAGATTCAGGAAACGAATAAACGTATTTGTCCCACATTCGTATTTATAGAGTGACGAATTGAACAAGTCAGTGCAAGGTAGCGAAGCTCTGAGACTGCGACTCTCAGGTTTTTACAAGTTCAAAATGTATTGCGACCACAAAGCTGACGTAGACCACTTGCAGGTTGTCATAGACCCCTAGGGGTCGATATAGACCACTTTGGGAATCAATAATTTAAATGAATCAATTTTCACAGTAGATTTTAGTCTCTAAGGGTGGTATCGTCAATTATTGTAAAATGCCTTCATGGCCTCCTTGATTTTCATAGTTCTTCAGAAAGGCTGGGGTATTTCTAGATTTCTACTGTTCTGTCTCAGCGTCAGTGATCTACTACTTATTTTTTTTCTTGAATTGTAGGAAATTTCAGGCTGATAAAAATCAAAAGCATGAACAGTTTGCAGCATAGATATTTGCAACATAACCTCAAAATAGGGCGCTTTTCTGAGGGACAGAAAAAGCTACGAAAATCGAGGAGGGCCTAATGGCGTTCTACAATAAATTGACGATACGGCCCTTAAGGACTATTCTTGATGACATGGAGATGGGGGGGGGGTCTAGATAGTTATTACGTCATCAATATTTATATTTTTACTTTTTCGGATTTTCAGCAAAATTTAGACGATTTTGATTTGAACACATGGTAACTCTGTCTATGCTCGAGAACAAAACGCATCTTCAGGGATTCCCCAAATATGGATATGTTAACTTAGACCAGTGCTGAAGCCTTTAAAAACGATAAAAAAGAAAAAAATCATAGTAGAATGAAACCTATTGTAAAAGGGAGAGAATATAATAAAAATGAAAGGAAAAATAAATTACGCTCGATTGAAGGTCGGGAAGTGGGAGGGGGTGAGTTTTTAAGGGTAAAAATCGGTTTGTCTCGATTTCCGGCAAAACTACAAGTCCTACGGAAAAAAGTTAAATGGCAAAGTTGTCGATAATGAAGATATCTACAACTTTTGTATTTACACTTTTTCCACATAACCTCAAAATTTATGTGGAAAATTCGAATACCCAAGTTTTTGGTTTTTTATTTTTCTTTTACAAAAAAATTTTTTTTTGAGAAATTTGGTGAAAACTTACCTTTGTATGTACCAAACACACTATAATTTTTTAGAATTCAAAAATTTATTTGTTTACCTCATTTTATTTTCGAAAAAGCACCCTAATTTTCAATCGAAAATATCAGCTATTTGATGGAGTTGATGGATTTTTTATTCGTTGAAATCTCTACTTTCTGATAGTGTAAAAGTTATACGTTACGTTTCATCCTACTATAATTTTTTTTTCAAAAATTATCGACCCTGGTCTAACTCGCTTAGAATCTTAGCTATAAATCCTCCATACATACGACATCATTCTTGTCTTGATGATTTTTGCAACAATTTTATGTAAAACACTAATCACATATCACTATAATTATTCATAGTCTTTATCACCTTGTTTATACAGTGGAGTCATTTTACTGATTTCAAGTTCATCGTGTTAATTAATTTTACTAATATTTTTACAATATAAGGACGTTGAGCAATCTCTGACTGAATTTTTTTATTTTTTAAATTTATTTTTGATTCCAGTATGGTTTCATTCACCTTTTGTTCATCAGTGAGGTCTACCAAAACAGGGTTATGCATACAAACTTCCTTTTTTTCACTATTTGCACCTGATTTTCTAATTTCCTAATATCTTGATATCAAATCCCAAACTACATCGATAAGAACCAAATAATTTTCAGTGTATCGTCGCTATGACTAGGTCACAATACAGGGTGGCGCATCGAAAACGAAACAGACGCATTTACTGGCAGCTCAGGTGATAAATCTGGCGATCTTGGGGGCCATTCAATGGCACCTCTTCTACCAATCCATCGATCTGGAAACGTCTGATCTAAATATTGTCGAACACGTAATGCGTAATGTGGTGGGGCACCATCCTTTGGAACATCAACCTATTCGCAATGTACCGCCGACCATTCTGATTTTCAATTATGGCTGTTAATGCAAGATCTATGGCGTCTTCCAGTAATTCCAAATACATTTCACCGGTCAAATTTCCAGGTAAGAAAAAAGGACCCGCTAGATGATGGCCAAAAATACCAGCCCAAACATTTAATTTTTGTGGCTGCTGTGAATGAACCTCATGATAAATTCTGGGATTAGAATCGGACCAATATCGGCAGTTATGACTATTTACTACGCCATTTAAATTTAGGAAAAAGGAACATTCGTCGGAAAAGCAAGTGTTGAATAGAAAATGTTCATCGTTTATAATTCGTTCACTCATATCTTCACAAAATTGTAATCGCCGATCAAAATCGTCTTCATTATGTTCTTGTTACCAGGTGAATTTATATGAAAAATATGGGCCTTTAGAATCCGTTGGACAGTACGTCGACTAACACCACACACAGTCTCCAACCTGCGTGTACTTAACGTAGGATCTACATAAACTTGCCCTAAAACCCCCACATCTATTGCTTCGTTCCTTATGGGATTTTCAATGTTGCGTTTTTTATTGGCGACTGACCCAGTTTCCCAAAATTTAGCTACAAGTTCTAGAACATATTTTCGATGTACGTTACTGGTCTCATGTCGCTCATTAAATATTTCTGCTCTTCTATTAGCGCACTGATTATTTCCGAAAAATATTTCGATAATTTCAACCCTTTTTGCTGTGGAATATATCATGGTTAATTTATGTAATAAAGCGTTACAAGTTATTTTAGCGTTTTTTATTGACAGATCTTAGCGTTTTTAAAAAAAAAAATGAGCTGTCAGTAAATGCGTCTGTTTCGTTTTCGATGCGCCACCCTGTATAGTTCGCTGTTAGCAATTTTCCAATGACTGCTGAGGGCATCACATATTAACTGAAAAAATAAAACTAGTTTATACCAATATCAGGTGGAACATATATTTTACCGTTTGCATTAAGCGCAAAATTAGTTATTACAGTCACATAAATACCATTTTCAAGCGCACCAGCCTGGTAAATAATGACTCGACTTTATGACCAGTCGGCTTCTTATGGGCTGTTATAAATTCAGACTGACGTCGTCGTATAATGAAATATGTCTGGCATTTGGAACGAAATACGTACATGTGCTACTTGACGCATTGTTTAGACTTGAATGACATCTAGCGTAACTCCTAGTTACGGATCATTCCCAAACTTCGTTTTTGTATTCTTTGTTGGGGTTATACTTTTGAGCAAATTGTTTTTCAAGACCTTTCTGACTATTTCAAGTTGGGATAAAAACCCTTTTAGCGAGCTCAGAAATGTTTAAACTTGGCATGGATCATTTTTTGAATTACATAAATATAATTAATCACGGTCAAACAAAATTTGTGCATCGGGGTTTCTTAAGTAAATTTAGTTTAGTTAAGTATCTGAATTCGTTTTTATCGTAATTGTATGAATTATATCCCTGTTGTTTAAGTGTGGCGTCGCATAGTTCAGATATATTTTTGATAAGGAACGTCGTATTCTTTAACAGATGTCTAACAGATGGTAGAAATACAATCGTTCTCGTTAATTTCACGAAAATGAACCTTAAATGATGATTAATATTCTAACAATGTTCACTACAAAGCCATGTTTATAGTGAAGAATATATGTATACACTAGATTGATACTTTACGACGCAGAAATAAAATGATAAAGTTGAAGTCATGGTCCATTAAGTGGAAACGATAGGAAAGCATATTTTCACACACACTGTATAACAGGTTCGTCTCATGAACGAAAAATATCAAACATATACTAAGTGACATATAAATCCGAACACCCAGTTTAAATGGTTTCATTTTAATAAAATTTTGTATAAGTACTTAATGAAGCATAATAAGTAAATGATAAAAATTTCAAAATGATTGCACTGCTTTAAAGCCCTTTGACCTTTAATAATGTGTGGATGCACCCTGATGTGCTACGCATTCTCCAACGCGCCTAGGCATGCTTCTGATCAGGTGGTCAATGTCCTCCTGTGGTATCTCATTCCAGGCAACCACCAACTCCTCTCGAAGTGCTTCTAGAGTCTGAGGAGGACGTTGCAAATTGAGCAATCTCCTACCCATCATATCCCACACGTGCTCAATTGGGGATAAGTCGGGAGATCTTGGCGGCCATGGTAACAATGTGACATCATTATGTTGAAAGAAGTCTATTGTGACTCTTGCAACATGTAGTCGGGCAGTATCTTGTTGGAAAGTTGGATCTGCCAGGGTGTCAAGATAGGCTAAAAGATGGGGTTATAGAACTTCGTGGATATAACGCTGCGCGTTCATGTTACCTCTGATGAAGATTAAAGGTGACCTGGAACCATAAGCTATAGCACCCCAAACCATAACTCCAACAGTGTGATGAACATGTCTTTCAACAAAAAACTGTGGATTCCTCCTTTCACCACGTCGCCTTCTAACCCTGGCACGACCATCGTGCATGCCTAAACAAAATCGAGACTCGTCACTAAAGACAATACTGTTCCATTCCTGATCCCAGAGTGACCGTTGTCTGCACCACTCAAGGCGATTACGTCGGTGTTCTCGAGTTAAAGGGAGGACCCAGTGTGGCCGGTATGAAAACAAGCCAAAACTTCTCATTCGTCGGTAAACACTTCGCATGCCAATAGGTCTTCCGTGTTCTGCAAACCATTCATTTGCAATGGACCTGGTAGTGTAGAAACGGTCCCTTAAGGCCAATAATCTTAGGCGGCGATCTTCACGGTCTGTTGTTCTACGGCGGCGTCCAGTGCCCCTTGCTCTTTGCGTACGGCCTTCTCGAAGCCATGCCTGACAACACCTAACCACAGTGTCTACACTTCTTTGCACTCTAACTGCAATTGCCCGAAAAGAAAGTCCAGCTTCCCGAAGTCCCACTATACGGCCCCTATCAAACTCACTAAGTTGACGAAATCGTACAGGTCTCCGTACTCTAGGCATCGCAACCGATCGTAAAGGATGTCAAGAACCAAAATCCGCCAACGTTGATTCTTTACTGCGGCTGAAATATCCATTTTTAGAGCGTTTGTGAATTAAAAAAAAGCAGTATAAAAACCGGAATGTCCAACTGATAAGGCTGAACATTTTTTCACTTGTTATTTACAGTAAGATAAATACATTCACCAACTTTTATTAAAATAAAACCATTTAAACTGGGTGTTCGGATTTATATGTCACTTAGTATAGATGCTATAGGTACTTTTGTTCTTTGTGACCAACAATCTTATCTGAAATGATCATGATCGCTGCTGAGAACGAGATACTGAAAACAAATAGAAATGGAAACGTACATAATCTTACTTCCCACGTTTTTTTCTGTCTGCTTTCCATTTTCTGCTTCCAAAACCTATAACGTACAAATGAGTCCAAATGCTGAACGCATTTTCAGATTGAACATCTAAACCTCATTTTTGTTTGTGTATGGAATTTTACCTAGAAGAGCAACATGCATACGTTATGAATTACATGTTATACGAGGGTGGTCCCAGAAGTACCCGGCCTGACCTAGAGATGGCGATAGTTGTTTGAAAAATATCATTGTATTACAGTATATTCAGATAAGAGATAGACCGGACATAAACAAGACCACGTGATCATCGAACGCTGTAACATTCGGCAGAGACGTATTAAGAGTCACGCAGTACATATTTTAGATAGTAGATGCTGCTTTGCGTAACATTGTAGTAAATTAGCACAATTCGATGTGTATACGATTGGTGATGGATATAGGATCATTTGGGGGTGGGGTAAGAAATATATAATGATGTAAATATACATAAGGGTTTCAAAATTTTCGCTTCGATTTCCAGCTTCGGATGCCGCCTGATGTTTGGTGAAATACAGTCGAATATAATCTCAAAATGGCGTTTAAATTAGCCTAAATTAAAAATTATCGTATATCTCTTAAAATTGCTTTTAGAATATTGATTAGTATATTTTTTGATTTCTAGGTAAATATGTAACCAAATTAAAACGTTCAAAACGTAAAAAAATGTGCATGGTTGAACATTGTCAGAAAGTAGATTCTTGAATAGGTTTTGCCAAAATGGGTTCAAAAATGTCAATAATTAATTAAGAAATACAGTAGCTTTATAATTACTTATAACTTACCGAATTTGATGAACGACATCTTTTATTGGAAAGATGAGCTTGATGAGCTTTCATCATCGCTACTGCCTGAAGCACCAACGTCAATAATGAATGGCTCGACTTGTTCCTCTAAAATATTGTCCAGTTCCCACATTCTCTTTTCAACTTTGTCTTTCACGTGCTTAATACAGTTTTCCCATTTTTGCGCTGTTATTAATTCTAGTGCTTCTTTGAAAAGTCCTTTGTGGTCACAAAATTTAAAAGTTGTATTGTGCTTAGCTATATAATTTTTAACCTCTGCCCATATGAGCTCAATGGGATTGAGCTCGCAATGGTATGGAGGTAAACGGAGCACAGTTTTATTTTGACTTGCTGCCATTTCGTCAATGGCGTATTTTTGATATTCCGCCTTGTGATCCTTGACAATTCTTAATAATTGTACTTTCAGCATTGCTTCTTCAAAGTTGATATTTTTCGAGCGGAGCCAATTTTGAACATCAACTTTCCTTGAAGCCGTTGTTGGGTCCTTCTCCATTCTTCGAGAATGATAAGGCGCATTATCCAACACAATTACTGCGTTTTCCTCTAAGTTCGGTAAAATTTTTGAAAACCACTGTTCAAACGATTCGCCATTCATTTCCTCGTGGTAATCTCCAGTTTTCTTAGACTCAAAGCACCACAGACCGTCAACAACAAATCCATCCTCACTGCCAATATGGCAGATAATGAGCCTTTTCCCTTTACCTGGAAATCGAAGTACTAACTGGTGTAGATTTATTTCAATAAGCGAACCTTTTTCAAATGTTTTCATCACATTCAGCGAAAAAACATTGAGACATGAGTATCAGATTGCTATAATTGGGATTATTTAGTCATATTGAAAGAAAGAATATTGAACGTCGTATGATTACTCAGCGCTTCACAATTTAATTTAAAGTTATAAACCTTTAAAAAATGAATGATCAGGAACCTGAAATACGCGCAAATATTAATATTAACAAATTATAACTTTATAAAGCTTAAAGTATGAATTAAAATGATTAGAAATATTAGGAACGGTACACAATATAAAACTTAGTAACTTTTTTTAAGTTTATAATATTCGACATATTTTAAGATTATATTAAAAAATTATTGAAATATCGAAAACACATAAAAACATGGCTTAAAAAAGTTCTAACAAATGAAAATGACAATAAAACATCCACGCATTTTATCGAAAGTTATAAAAGTTTTGTTACTTGTAATATGTTTTATCTGCCCCCTGGAATTAATGTTTAGAACCTTGTTCCCAAGGTTTGAAAAACATCCGATTGTTGTCTATTACTCGTATTTACCTGCTGGATTTTTTAATCCGGTGGACAGTCCATCTAGAAAGGCCCTCCTGGATGAAGTTACAGAATCATCAACCCATACTTTACTTGTAGTGTGTCCTGCGTTTACCCACGTTTCATCAAGGTAATAAATCTTCCTGTTTTGATTTCTATATTTCCCAATTTTTGTTAAATAATCCCTCCTCCATAGCACAATTTCTTCTCTATCCAGTAGTAAACTATTACGACCCCGTTTTTTCCATTTGAAATTTAAATGCTTCAGTAACGCATGGAAAGTTGATCGTTTGAAATTTGGCAACGTTGTATCTCCATTTACCTCCTGCAGTACTTTATCTATAGTAGGTATTTCATTCCCAAAGAAGAATTCATGCACTTTCCTCCTAATCGCATGCTTATCAGCTTCATCCAATGATTTAACAATACTTTTGCGATGTTTACTGGTCATTGGCTCAGAAAAGGTGTGATTTTTTTTGTATTGTCTTAACACATTAAACACTGATGCGCGACACACCCCAACTTTGTGAGAAACCTTCACAACAATTTCTTTGATGGTTGATGCCTCGTTCTCCTCGCGCTCGATCTTATATATATATTCAAAATGACCTCTTTCATTTCTGCACTCAGGTGTCTTTTTTAGAGCGTTTCCTAGGTGGACTACAGGAGTTTACAACTTCATCGGCAGTATCTGTACTACTGGGCATTTTGCGCAAGCAGTTGATAACAATAACAATCAATAACAAGGTATAACAATAACAACGACAAACTCAACAACTTAATAAGATAACAAACGAAAACGTCCAAAGAAATATCAAATTGCAATGATGCACACGACATACGTAACACGTCTGAACCTGAATGTGACTCTGCCTTGATACGACTGCTCTGCCGCTCGGCATAGGCATTTAATTGCGGATTGACCAATGAGGGCTCCTGTTTTACGTCGAGACGGCGGCGTTAGCGTGAAAATCACCCGAACCTTTTGTTTACATCCGGTCTATCTCTTATCTGAATATACTGTAGAAAGTATGCAACCTATAAAGCATATGTGTCAAGTTTGAAGACGTTGTTTAGTATTTGTTGGGCAGCCATCAATACTGAACGTTTTCAGTGAATTTGTGAAAATGGAGAAAATTGGTCATCGTTATGTGGTACAATACTTTTATTTCAAAGGCCTCAGCCCAACCAATATAAAAGCTGAACTGGATTCTATTCTGGGTGAGTCTGCTCCTTCGTTTACAACAGTAAAATATTGGGTAGCAGAGTTTAAACGAGGCCGTATGAGCTGCCAAGACGAGCATCGCGAATGAGGTGACGGCTCCAGAAATGGTGAAGAAAATTCACAAAGCGGTACTGAATGATCGTCGACTGAAAGTTTTTATTTATAAAATTTTTGTGTTTTCTTCGTACTTCTTCGACCACCCTCGTACAGCCAAAGCCTAGGAACCTGGACCAGTAAAAAGCAATAAAACTACTTAATAATGATGTTCATTTATTTGTTTCAGAATGTGGTGGACGCTAACTGGCAACTTCGGCAACATCCTTCCTATAGACTGGTCCAAATCTTACGCTAGGAAATTACAGATCAACGCGTTGCATTTAGAACAGGTATGTAGACATGTAGAAGAAAGTAAATGGTAATAATGTCTATCTACTGCTGCTCTGCCGACGTTGACACCTGTTTACACGCCTTTCTCTTTCATTAGCGCATGTTACCGCGATGTCGATGTCTGATTTGTATGTACGTGTTTATCATCAATCAAGCTTGAAAAGGTACATGGGTTGTCATATGGATGTACTTGATTTACAGCATGTTTCATACCGAAGATGAAGATTTTATTCATGTTTTCGTGGGAAGCTGGGGATAGGGGAATTGCAACGACAGAAACAAAGGAATTTATTTTGGCCAGATCGGGTAGAAACTACTTCCGAGATCCCAGCGGTCGGGGTCGAATATACATATAAAACATCTTGTGTATTATTTTCTCCAAATATTTTCGAAAAACGCAAAACCACCAATCTCTGAGATGTCGGCCAATGCTTTTTACGTGGAATGCTCATTGTTAAAGGTGCCGTATCAAATGTTAGAGAGATCGCTTATACATAAATTGCATTTCATGGTTTATGCTGACTCTAATGAGACATGGCGTTGAAAGCGCTGCTGAAATGCAGTTGTGCATCTACGAGGCTCATCTGAAAATTATCATTTTCATGGTTGATTGCTAACCAAAATGTTCCTTGCAAACTAATGTCAGTATCTTAAAGATCGCTTCAACAGTTTTTGATATCACAATGTGCATCTCTTGCTTAGACACGATGCTACTAACAGCTCATCTTCGGCGCGCCAAACCGACTCCATTTACCTATGGCGCGTTAAACAAAAAAGTCCGGTTCATATTTGATTCACCCTCGTACAATACGTACTTTATTCTTCAAGTTATGTTGAGGCTATGAAGAAAGGGGTAATTCGAACTCTCAGATAACTAAGAAAAATAGTTTTGCAAGTAGATTCTAAGTAAGGTAGATACTACAAACTGGTTATTGGGGCCCAATATCCCAAAATTTGGAAACTAAACGAAGGACCCACACACAACCAAAAAATGGATGACAGACACGAAATTTCCGGTTTTCCGTCAGTCAGTTGAATGTCAATCAATGTCAAAAGTTTTCCAAAATTATACAGGGTGTCCCAGAAGTCGACGTCAAGCCGAAACCGGGTGATAGGCAAAGTCATAACAGCTATCAGAAAAATATTTAAAAAAATTATGTATGTGTTTTGAAAATTATAGGTCTTTGAAAAAATATAGAAATTTCACACCCTACGGCAGTCTGTCAACTCCTGTTACTACAAATATTAACTTTTTTTGGATTTTATTTTTACAATGTAATGATGAATAATGCATCTTCAAACTGGTGTCTCAACCTTACTGCCAACTTTTCTCGTTCAGGAAAAATTGCCACTTATTTCCCAACCAAGTATTCCAAAGTAAAACTTTGCTCAACTTTAACTGGCTGTACTGGAAAAAATGTACTACGAGGGTTTGGCAAGTAACCTTAAAAGTTGGCGCATTTAGTAAGGATTCCAAAATGGTATAACACTTAGAAGATTACTCGTTAACTTATGCACAATTTTTATTTGAAAAAAAACTGATGAAAATTTTTCAAAATTTCCTAATTAAACAGCGATTATGAAAACGCTCAAGGACCCTTAAGGATAACTGTTTGCACAACAGTGGGCGTCAAAATGCTGCTGATGATGATTTACCTTTACAGCAAATGTTCAAACTGTTTTCCTTCAGCCGCAATACACGCTCGACATCTTCTTAAAAAAGATCGGGTTATTAAACGAGCGAATCCACGGTTATTAACAAACTCAGCTGCTTCCAATAGTCTTTTCCGTAGCTCAGCTACATTTTGAATCGGCTTGAAATACACTTTTTCTTCTACAGTTCCCCAGTAAAAAAAATCTAATGGATTCAAATCTGGTGACCGGGCTGGCCACGGTATTGTACCAGACTGCCCTATGCATCTGCCTGGAAAGTTTTGATCGGGATACTCTCTCACTGAGAGTGCATAGTGCGCTGGGCAGCCATCATGCTGAAACCACATGCCCCTGTAAATACTCAGTGGCACGTCCTCCAATAAATTTTCTAAATGATTTTGCAAAAAACCTAAATAAACCTGAGCAGTCAAAGTCTCTGGGAACTCAAACGGACCGATTATTTTACCATTTAAAATCCCTGTCCAATGGTTTATCTTGAAGCGATATTGAGATTTATCTTCTCTCATCAAATGCGGGTTTGCTACGTGCCACTTGTGTAAGTTATGCAGGTTCATGTACCCATCTTTCTTAAATGTGGTCTCATCTGACCATAAAATCTTTTCAAAGAACCGTGGATCTTCCCTGTGACTTTCTAACATTGTGCGACAAAAAGCAACTCGGGGCTCATAATTCCGGGGCAGAAGAGCTTGTACTTTTGGGCATACCTGTTTTTAGTTCTATTGCACGCACTGAAGTACTCGGGTCTTCTTCGACAGCTCCTAGCACCACGTCTTCGTAAGGAAGGAAAGATCTTCCCTCACCGTGTGATTAGTTTGGTAGTTGGCCCTCTGAGAACAGTAAGCGGTGCACATTTGTGAACACTCGATGATCTGGATGACGAGCTGCATTCGGGTACCTCTCACAGTAAAGTCTCGCTGCAGCACTAGCGTTGCATCTGCATTCCCCATAAATGAGGTGTATGTTAGCATATTCTTGTACGGTGTACACGGACATAGCGGCACTGCACGATCACACTATCAAAGATAGTCTAAGGAAAGCAAATGTTGTTTTGAAGAGCAATTAAACAGTCCAAATCCAAATTACAAGCGATCAACAGTCCAGTTCACGAATCCAAAATTAGTAACAGTACGAAATCAACAGGCACGAACATGTAAAGATGCGCAGTAAACGAAGGAGTACTGATTGGTATCAAAGTGTGCAATAGCAAGTAAGTGATGTGCTTCATCCATACCACATACAGCGTGTTCAACCTCTCCTGCCCCGGGATTATGAGCCCCGAGTTGCATTTTGTCGCACAATGTTAGAAAGACACAAGAAAGATCCACAGTTCTTTGAAAAAATTTTATGGTCGGATGAGACCGCATTTAAGAAAGATGGGTACATGAACCTGCATAACTTACACGAGTGGCACGTAGCAAACCCACATTTGATGAGAGAAGATAAATCTCAATATCGCTTCAAGATAAACCATTGGACAAGAATTTTAAAAGGTAAAATAATCGGTCCGCTTGAGTTCCCAGAGACTTTGACTGCTGAAGTTTATTTGGATTTTTTGAAAAATCATGTACAAAATTTATTGGTGGACGTGCCACTGAGTATTTAAAGGGACATGTGGTTTCAGCATGATGGCTGCCCAGCGCACTATGCACTCTCAGTGAGAGAGTATCTCGATCAAAACTTTCCAGGCAGATGGATAAGGCGGTCTGGTACAATACCGTGGCCAGCCCGATCACCTGATTTGAATCCTTTAGATTTTCTTACTGGGGAACTGTAAAAGAAAAAGTGTATTTCAAGCCGATTCAAAATTTAGCTGAGCTACGGCAAAGACTATTGGAAGCAGCTGAGTTTGTTAATAACCGTGGATTCGCTCGTTTAATAACCCGATCTTTTTAAGAAGATGTCGAGCGTGTATTGCGGCTGAAGGAAAACAGTTTGAGCATTTGCTGTAAAGGTTAATCATCATCAGCAGCATTTTGACGCCCACTGTTGTGCAAACAGTTATCCTTAAGGGTCCTTGTGCGTTTTCATAATCGCTGTTTAATTAGGAAATTTTGAAAAATTTTCATCAGTGTTTTTTTCAAATAAAAATTGTGCATAAGTTAACGAGTAATCTTCTAAGTGTTATAGCATTTTGGAATCGTTATTAAATGCGCCAACTTTTAAGGTTACTTGCCAAACTCTTGTAGTACATTTTTTTCCAGTACAGCCAGTTAAAGTTGAGCAAAGTTTTACTTTGCAATACTTGGTTGGGAAATAAGTGGCAATTTTTCCTGAACGAGAAAAGTTGGCAGTCAGGTTGAGACACCAGTTTGAAGATGCATTATTTATCATTACATTGTAAAAATAAAATCCAAAAAAAGTTAATATTTGTAGTAACAGGAGTTGACAGACTGCCGTAGGGTGTGAAATTTCTATATCTTTTTCAAAGACCTATAATTTTCAAAACACATACATAAAAATTTTTTAAATATTTTTCTGATAGCTGTTATGACTTTGCCTATCACCCGGTTGCGGCTTGACGTCGACTTCTGGGACACCCTGTATACTGCACAGATTCGATGCCAAAAATAATAATGAGAATGAGAAATTCCGATTCAAAACCCAAACTGTCTAATATCCTACCTAGACATAACGAATCAGAGCTTCGTCCAAGGAAAACAAAACAATCCCAAAAACAAAAGCGTTGGGAGATGAAAAGTTCGCAACCAAACCTACATACGCAACATCACTGGTTGCCTGTGGGTAGACTTCAGTACCGTGTTGTTTCCCAAAATAATGTTGCGGGTAAAGAAATCAGTTTACGAGGGGCCAACGATATTTGTTGAGGAACTTTCTGAGATAGTCATTAATAAAGTAGTATAATATTGGTGTCCAAACGATTTCAACACAATGCTGAGTTGCTAAGAAAGAAAGATATAATATGTCTGAAATCATACTTTCATAATTTCAAATTAATAAAGAGAAATTCAAATTACTGGTAAGTAATCAGAATAGTAAAAAACAATTACATGGTTCAAAACTTTTGCCCCATACGCTATTATTACAATCTAAATAATTCTATTGCACGTTAGGAGCCCCGGACCCCAGCCGACGACGAGATCGACTCCCTGAGCAGTGAAGATGAGCAGGTGGCAGGCGATCTGGACATGCACGCGCTCATCCTCGGCGGACTCGGTAATCAAGAACAGGAACCACTTAAGACGGCGGACGAGGTGATCAGGGAGATCGATGACATGATCAGGGAACAGGAGGAAGATGGATCGCCAGACTCTGCGGTAGAGTCTATGACATCAGCCTTGGAGAACAGCGAGGTCATGGAGAAGGCCAAGGAGGTTTTGAGTTCGCCTCTTTACGAAGATAGTATGTATTCATCTTTTATGTATTTTAAATTTGGGTTGAGACCAATCGAACATAACAAATAATATATAAAAACAGTTGAATAAAAAAAAAGTACATAAAGTTACAAAGTCCTTCTTGAACTCCAATAAATATGCAAAAAGGTCAGTTCTGAATTTTTTTGTTTTTCTCTTTTTCTGTCGTTCTTTAGTTTTAAGTATAATAATTTTTAAATTATCCCGACTTGAAGCTGCATTTATAAAACTTTGCTTGCTTTTCAGAATTGAGAGATCTCAGCCTATCGCAACTGAACGAGCTATTCTTGGAGCTAGAGGTGCTGATCCGAGAGTTTTCGGAAACCCTTATCGCAGAATTGGCACTCCGTGATGAACTAGAATACGAGAAGGAACTCAAGAATACGTTTATATCTCTACTGCTTGCCGTACAGAATAAAAGGAGGCAGTACCATGTGGAGAAGAAGCGAAGCTCGAAGAACCCCTCGATCAAACCTGCGAATGGGTTGGATCCCAAGGTAAATACGGACTGAATCTATCGTGATTGTTAACTTCCATGCCAAATGGAGAGGTATTGTAATCGCGAATTTCGAAAATGAAATATGTTTCTTTCCATCGCCATAATTATACGCACCCCAAAAGTCAATTCTTTATAATATTATGAATTCTTCCGAATTAGGATCATATTGGATATATGTATCTAAAGAAATTGTTTATGTAGTAAACCTCAGCATATAATTTGTTAAAATATTCATTAATGATGTGTGCTTTTTACAGTATTTGACGACCGTGATTCCTTATCACATAGACTGTGGACCACCAGATAACCAGACGCTGCAGGTACTCATCAAAAGTAAGTACTCAATGTACAATATTGATAAGTAGTCGTTGACTCATCTTGAAATAGCTGTGGCTTCCCAAGAAATACAGACTAAAAACTTTAGTATCTGGTGGAACTTACGGAGCTCTCTCTATTCCATCTAAAAAAAAAGTAGATATTTTGATTGTTTCATTACACACATTGTTTATCAAGTATAGTATAGGTAAACAATCGATGACCTTGAACAATATTGTGTTAGCATAAACATTTTGTTTATAGAATACTTTACTAATACATATAACTGGACCAAAGAAAAATCGAAATTTTTGTTTAAAGACATCCATTTAATTTAACCTTGCATAATAACAGTCTCCATAATTATACAGACTACAATTTTGCGAAAAAATGCAGTTGATTAAAAAAGGCGACGCATCAATCAACATATATTTTGGAGCATACAGTTTTTTTGACAGCATCCCTGTACTCTGGTGTCCAGAAGCTTGAGAAATGTGCAAATAGGTAAATTGACATATCATTTATAAAATTTGGATGAATCACGGATTTAAAATTTTGAGGGCCCCTATCTATGAACATTGCAGCATCATAAAAAGCAGATCGAAAATAAAAATCGACTTTGTTTATATACAAAATCTTGCGAATTTGAAGAACGTCTTATATATTATAGTGTTATAAATAAAAAATATTTTATTTCAGTTCTGAAAGCGATTAATGAAGATAGTCCTACGGTGCCGACCTTACTAACAGATTATATATTAAAAGGTGGGTATTTACTTTTTAAGTGATATAACTGAATCTCCTAGGAATACAGAAATATTCACAGATCAGTATTTTAATAAAACGATGCTATGCCAAGATGCTATAATAATTATGCTTATTTTCTAGAAGTACAAAACGTGGGGCAATGAGTAGTTTTTATACATACTTTGAACGCTTGCATACTTGCTAAGTTGGGTATACGTGGATTTGCAGGAGAAGGTATAATAAAAATACGATCAAGTTGCTTTAGATGTCTGATGATTTTTAAATTCACTTTATAAAACATCATTATTGAGTATAATATTACGAGAAAAAAAGACGAGAAGAAGTTAAGGGGGCTCATCTTAAGGAGTTATCGTATGTAAACAACGCCCCCGTAATTGGAACAATGGGGCACCTTCGTAGCGATGACACTTAGGCAACCAATAATACAGCCAGAATACGTGAGCGTTCGTGGCGACATCGGGAGCGTTCGACACGTATCGGGAAGCATCTAGTGACATCGAGATGAATCTCCTTTATATTCCGATCAAGGCCCGCACTTGCTCTGGAAGGCTTCTGGAATTAATCGTTTAAAGTTAAATGCCCGTTGACAGTTTTTGCGTCTTTGTCGTTTAGAGATAAGATATTACTTTGCGATTCACATTTTTTGATTACGATATTATGAGGAAAAAAGATTAGATGACGTTACAGGAGCTTATCCTAAGGAGTTTTCGAATGTAAATGATGTAACGCCCTCGTAACTGCAACTACGGGGCACCTTCGTAACGCTGACGTTTAGGCAACCAATTATACATCCAGAATACGTGAGTGTTCATGGTAGCAACCGGGAGCGTTCGACACGTATCGGGAAGCATCTGGTGACACCGAGATGAATATACTGCCATCTATATAACATCGATCAAGGTTCGCGTTTAATCTGGAAGGCTTCTGGCTGTAACATGGCTCATTCCAAGTTTAAGAAGCGAGAGCTTTTTAAACCTATAAAAAGAGGAGTTCCTCAAGGTTCAATTTTATCTCCTTTGCTATTTTCAGTCTACATATCTGACATGGTCAAATCGGTAAAAGTCGGAAAGATAAAACAATATGCAGATGACTCACAATTATATCTACCTTTCAATAAAACCACAATCCATATTGCTCAACAACAACTAAATTCAGATCTCCAAAGTATTGACAGATTTGCAAAGCATCACAATCTTAAACTAAACCCCTCGAAATCGCAAGTAATGGTTATGAATAAAAACAGTAATGAAAGAGAACATTTTGAACAAAATTTAATAATTTCTATTAGCAATGACAGAATCCCCATGGTTCAGGGGACAAAAAATCTAGGCATTAGCTTTCCTAGCTCGCTCGGCTTAGGAAGTCATATAAAAAACAGAACAAATTTAGTTTACATGCTACTAAGAAATATAAACAAGTTAAAAAAACATTTATCAGCCAAACAAAAATATTATTTGTGTAATACCTTGATTTTATCACTTTTTGACTATGGAGATGTCGTCTATGCTGATTCGCTATCGTCGTGAACCAGAAAATGCATACAAAAAGTTCAAAATAGTTGCATGAGATTTGCGTTTGGAATTCCATATCGAAACCATATCACTCCTTATCTGAATAACTACAACATATTAAACATGACGAATCGCAGAAAATATCACATGTATTCCTTTATCTATAGGGTTATAAAAACAGGTCAACCGCCCTATTTAAGAGAAAGATTTGTGCCTTTGCCTGGTGCCTAGAGGAGCAGAAATAATCTCAATTTTATCATACCTAGGCATAGAACGCGTTCCTTCTGACGATCGTTTGCTTTTGTGGCGGTTCACTTATGGAATAATTTACGAACTTCAGTTAAAAGCTCGTCGTCAAAAACATTCTCAAAACTGACAAAAACATTACAGAATCACCAGCTACTTTAGCAGCGTTTGTGTGAGCAAAAATATCGTTTTTACATATACATTCCTACTCCCTGACAAGTTGTATAGATTTGTTTTTCGCGTCCGTTGCCAGCTCCCGGGAGTCCTTTCTTCGTTTTCGCCTTTTTGTGTTTCACCGCCCTTCATTTGCCTCTTTATTGTTTTTTTTTATTTTGTTTGAGGATTTTTAGGGTGTTCAGAGCTTTCTCGCATGGACTCTTTGTATTAAAGGGTCCAATGTATCGGTTTTATAATCGAGAGACTGTCCTTTTTCGCCATTGCTCTATATTGTAAAATTTCCTTTGTTTATGATGTTTATTCATGATGAAATAAATATTTTGAATTTGAATTCTGGAATTCACCGATTAAAGTTAGAAACCTGTTGACAGTTTTTGCATTTTTGTTGTTTTAGCGGCAAAATGTTGTCTTTGCGGTTCGCATTTTTATAAAAAAAATATGAGAAGAAATTCAGGGAGTTGATCATAAGGATTTAACGTATGTAAATAATGTAACGCCCTCGTAACGGAACAATGGGGCACGTTCGTAACGTTGACGCTTAGGCAACCAATTGTACAGCCAGCATACGTGAGCGTTCGTGGCGACAACCGGGAGCGTTCGACATGTATCGAAAAGCATCAAAATCGTCAGTGTTACTTAATACCATTTTCAAGATCATTTTATGTTAATTGTTTGCTTTTAATTAAATTTACATCATCAACGTGCTAATTGCCACTTACATTTTCCAGTAATTTGTCCAACATAAACAGAGAAGATCCAAGCCACAAGACATCTAGTTGAAGTAAGCTTTTGATGCCGCAGCACATTAGGTTGTTGATGAAGATATTTTAAGCATAATACTTAGTCACAGTGTATTTACTGTAAAGATGTGTTATGTGTTGACCAAACATGTAGTAGAATTCGAGGATCGCATTGGGATATTGTATCGTACTCAATTGTCCTTAAATGCTGCTACACAGATTGAAGAAAGTTACTATATCTGGAAGTAAATATATAAACCAAAACTACTGGGGAAATACTGGCAATACGTGTACCCGCGTTGAAAGTTCATTTCGTGGGTTTTATTGTCAATATTTTTTATAGAAGTATATGATAAATGAAAAGTTTCGATCTATACATGATTCTATTTGTTGGGATATTTATTTATTATTATTTAGTCTCTCTGTTGTAGTCAGTATCAGATTATTTACAATTTTTGTCAAAATTCCACATATTCTTGTGTTGTCGGAGGAGAAACCGACATACTTCGTCAAAATCCATTGCTTAAGTAAAACAAGAATGAATACACACAACGCCTTTTTATCGTTCTATGTATACAGGATCGGCAGGAAATCATTGAGGTCCCGTATTTAATATGTTTGAGCGAGCGAGATAAAGAGAGAAACACGTATGCTAGAGCGAGTATGCGAATGAAACGTGCTCGAGAATAAGGGCAAGTCTGTGGTCGTTTTATTCCCGATCTCGCTTTAACATTCGTGTTTCTTTCTCTATCTCGCTCGAGTACATTAAGTCAGTGATTATCTGCCGATTATGTGTTTTTGTTACACTGAAGTTGCTTCTGACTTCTTGCTCTGAAAATATATTATTTTTTACCCTAATACACCGTATTTCACGGATATCCTAATTTTTGAATACTTTTAATGTAAAAATTCTCAAATTACCAAAATTTAAACAAAAAAGTTATGTTCTTACTGTGTTTTTTCATGTAAAAATGCACACGTAATAAATGAAAAATATCCTTTCAAATAGGAACATGGTCTAATTTAATCCCACTTCTGATGCCTTGATTTCGTTTTTTCTTTATACTCTACCACCTAGGGCATGCGATATTTACTCTATACTTCAGTATAGTGCACTTTAAGTTGTATATATTTCGTTTGAAAATTCTAGTCGATCCCATTAGATAGCTTGAAAACTGAACTGTTACCGGTTGATTTTCAGAGACCGTAATGCAGTTTTCAAGCATAATGTCTATAAAATGGGGCTCTGCAAACATGACAAACTGTACATTTTTAGTGTTATTTCTTTGTCTTGCACACAAAATCGCTATTTTGTGCAATATTTGATAATTTCGTGAACTCGTAGTATACAGTTATGTTAAGGACGCTTGGAAAGTTTTTTGAAATGTATCAGACGATTTTGGAAATCCCGTTGGTGAAAAAACTTCCTACCAAATAGTAGTACCTATATACTAGATGCATTACTTCTGTTAAAAGATTAAAATCAAAATTAGGAAATATTTTTAGTCTAAGGATTATATTAATAATGATAAAAAAGGTCTTTAATGGTAGCATAATGACCATTAGCCATATGGCTTCTCTGCTTAAACTCAACTCAACTCGTTATTGGTCATAATGTAAAAAAATAAACATACAATTAGTCAATGTTTCGAAGGATGTATTTTAGTTTTATTTCTAAGATTTCTTTTTGAAAATATTTGAGTGGCGGGCCAATATTGAAATGTCAATTTGCCCCCAAAAAACAGGCATCTGTTTTTTAGAATTTTGACAAAATTTTCTTATATATGTTAAACTTCTAAAGTGAACACAAGTTTAATGGATAGTTCTATAATAAAATGCAGGATATTCAGATAACAAACAATGACGACTAGAAGAATTCTTCCATAGTTTTCTTGCATAAATGGCTAACTAAAAGTTGATATATTTCAAAAAACTTCTATCATTAAGTGAATCTCGTAATTCGGTATATGATATTTTTAAGTGAGCTTGACTGTAACGCTTATATTTTTGTATTATATCCTACTATGACAATTTGCCATCGTTTTATATTTTATGTGAATGTTTTGTAAAAAATGTATATTTTCTTGTAACGTACAAGAGCTATTTATTTTATTATTTTCGTCTTGCCATATTGTATTTGTAAGTTTTTTTGCTGAAACAAAATGTAATAATTATAACCTTGAAAGATTTAAACCTGATTAAACTTTTTGTGTAAATGTTACCTTCTTTCGATAAGCAGCCTATGTAGAAGATCTCTGTAATAAATACATTTTTTCTCCAACAAGTGTTTTGTTTAAGCGCTTAGAATGGAAGATATGTTCCACATAACGAAAATCATTGTCAGTGTTTTGATCGAGTTAATCATAATTTGCTATCAACAAAACTTGCTGAGGTTGGTTTAAACGGGTCGTTAATCCATCATCGGGAGTTCCTCAAGGTAGCCATCTAGGTCCAGTATTCTTCTTAATTTATATAAAAGATATCGCACAATGTTTCAGCCATTGCCAATGTCTTCTTTTCGCAAATGATTTAAAGATGTATCCTATAATTGAAAGCCCTTAACATTGCATCAAAATACAATCTGATATCGACAAACTTAACGATTATTGTCAGAGAAATGACCTTCCACTTAACGCTAAAAAATAAGGAGAATTGCGTCTGTCCAACATAAGTTCTTGCGAATTCTGGCTTACAGGGCGAGCATCATTGTTTCAAAATCTTACCTCTGGCTAAGAGAAGGGTATTATCTGATCTAGGTTCTCTGCACAGAATCGTGAACAATTGACTGCTTTTACTTTTCATCGAAAATGAATGTAAATACTTCAATATCCCGTTTTTCAAAACTAATGGCTTAAACTCTCCACTGGTACGAATGTAGAGAAATCTGAACAACTATGGTACATTTGCTGATATGTTTGCTTGTGAACTGTTTAAATGCTTTATAAAAAACAGGATGTTGGTTGGTCACTCTCTAGTAAGCCACTTTCGCATTTTCTGATTTCTGTTTCTCGTCATTGAATTATAGTATTCTCCACCTTTTTGAAAAGCACTGTATGGGCGATGGTGAGTTGAAGTCCAAACGATAGTAAGGCATATACACTGAAAACCAAATACCACAGACTTCTTAATGTGTTCGAGACAGAAGCGCAAGAAGCGTGTGTTAGAAAGAGACAGAAGCACCTCGTTGCTTAGCAACCCGAGTACAAGGTCACGGATGCCATCGGCGCACTCTTTATGACATACGTATTGCACGCTTTTCTCTTGTACACATTACGACGTCAGCCAAATTTGTACCTCAGCGTATATGGTGCTAAGCGATATATAAGCCTCAAAAACAAACAATTATTCCGACAATAAGGACAGCAACGATATAACGATGATAGCAATGACATAACGATGATAGCTACGATATAACAGTGATAGAAGCGATATAACGATGACGGCAACGATATAACGATGACGGTAACAATATAATGATGATAGCAACGATATAACTATGACAGCAGTGATATAACGATGACGGCAACGATATAACGATGACAGCAACGAAATGACGATGACGACAACGATATAATGATGACAGCAATCATATAACGATGACGGCAACAATATAACGATGACGGTTACGATATAACGATGACAGCAACGATATAACGATGATAGCAACGATATAACGATGACAGCAAAGATATAACGATGATAGCAATGCTATAACGACGATAGCAACGATATAACAGTGATAGCAGCGATATAACGATGACGGCAACGATATAACGATGACAGCAATGATATAACGACGATAGCAACGATATAACAGTGATAGCAACGATATAACGATGTCAGGAATGATATAACGATGACGGTAACGATATAACGATGACAGCTATGACATAACGTTGGCGGCAATGATATAACGATGACAGCAACGGTATAACGATGACAGCAATGCTATAACGATGACGGCAACGATATAACGATGTCAGTAAAGATGACAGCGACGATATAACGATGACGGCAACGATATAAGGATGATAGCTGTATAACAACGATTGCAACGATATAACGGTGACAGCAACGATATAACGACGATAGCAACGATATAACAGTGAGAGCAACGATATAACGATGTCAGGAATGATATAACGATGACGGTAACGATATAACGATGACAGCGATGACATAACGTTGGCGGCAATGATATAACGATGACAGCAACGGTATAACGATGACAGCAATGATATAACGATGACGGCAACGATATAACGATGTCAGTAAAGATGACAGCGACGATATAACGATGACGGTAACGATATAACATGACAGCAATGATATAACGATGACGGCAATGATATAACGATGACAGCAACGATATAACGATGACAGCAATGATATAACGATGACAGCAACGATATAACGATGATAGCAACGATATAACGATAACAGCAAAGATATAACGACTATAGCAATGATATAACGACGATAGCAACGATATAACAGTGATGGCAGCGATATAACGATGACGGCAACGATATAACGATGACAGCAACGATATAACGATGACGGCAACGATATAACGACGGTAGCAATAATATAACAGTGATATCAACGATATAACGATGTCAGGAATGATATGACGATGACGGTAACGATATAACGATGACAGCAATGATATAACGATGGCGGCAATGATATAACGATGACAGCAACGATATAACGATGACAGCAATGATATAACGATGACGGCAACGATATAACGATGATAGCAACGATATAACGATAACCGCAAAGATATAACGATGACGGCAACGATATAACGACGGTAGCAATAATATAACAGTGATATCAACGATATAACGATGTCAGGAATGATATGACGATGACGGTAACGATATAACGATGACAGCAACGATATAACGACAGCAACGATATAAGGATGATAGCAGCGATATAACGTCGATAGCAACGATATAACGGTCACAGCAACGATATAACGATGTCAGCGATCATAAAACGATGACGGTAGCGATATAACGATGACGGCAACGATATAACGATGACAGCAACGATATAACAATAACAGCAACGATATAACGATTATAGCTACGATATAACGATGATAGCAACGATACAACGATTTCAGCAACGATATAACGATGACGGCAACGATGTAACGATGACGGCAATGATATAACGATATCAGGATGACAGTAACGATATCACGATGACAGCAATGATATAACAATGACGGTAACGATATAACGATGACAACAGCGATATAACGATAATGCCGACAGTATAACGATTTAACGATGACTGCAACGATATACTCAGATACGTGCACAAGCATGAAAAAGATTCTAGAAAGACGCTGCCCAGTCGAGATTTTGAGGCTGAAAGTTGCTATAAAAGCTTTACTATAACTAAAGATTCGCGAGACCTAAGATGTGGAAAGATATACCAAGAGAAAGCTGCCCGGAATTCAAGAAAAAAAAACCAGGAAAAAGATCGAGAGGAAGAGGGCAGAGCTCCTGGCCAAATAATCTTTCGTTGGTACGGATACACATCTTTGGACGTGCTCCGTGTAGCCATTTGGATCGCTAACTTTCATTAGGAGAAGGCGTACTAAGAAGAAAATTCGATACATACGATTTTATTTCTTGATGCATAGCATTCAGCGTATGAATGAATCTAAGTCACTTGCATGAAAACCTCTTCTTCCCCTCAGTGACATACAATAATAAAACCTATAACATATCTACAACAACTACATGCCTATAGCTCTGTCTTCTGCTATATGTACGGTGATGGAGAGGTGCATAAACAGCGAGCTTCTGGACTACCTCAAACGTCACGGCTTGATTAGCGACAGGCGGTACGGTTTCCGATACCACAGATCCACAGGAGACCTGACTTACGTCACGCAATTATGAAGTAAACTTATTCAGATTTATGGTGAGGCTCATGTCGTTGCTCTTGATATCACGAAAGCGTACGAACAGCTGTGGCACGCTCTTGCCTGTTATGCAAACTTTCATCGTATGGCCTCCTAGAGAAGCTTTGCAGATGGGTGGCTGATTTTCTCTCTGGCCCCAAGATAACCATCGTAATTGACGTGTTCTCCTCTTCATCATACAACGTCAACGCGGGTGCTCATGAGGGATCGGTCTTGGCACCGACACTGTTCCTCTTACAATCCCCTGAGCTTTGTTGCTGAATTCAGAGTGACAAGCCGGTGAGCTGGAAAAACGAAGACCTGCAGGAGCTTCCTCTCTGAAGTTTATCACTGAAGTTTATCACTGCTTGGAGGCACAGTCATCTTGTACAGTTTAATACTTCCGCCCCTTTGTTATTAGGCTGTCGAGATTGTGGAACAATCTACAGGGTGGCCCATAAGTCCTTTGAGCTGGAAAAAAAAGGAATAAAACCAAACTAGTTACATTATGAAGAATTATTATATTTTGTTATCATCCCTATTGAATGAGAATTATGTTTTAAAAATCACATCGTCTAAATCCAATCCATTACGATCACGGCACTCATATAAACGATGTCTAAAATTGTCGATGACTGCGCGGCAAGTCAACACTGTAATGCTTGCCATTTCTCTTCGGATATTTTCTTTCAGGACATCAACTGATCGCGGAGTGGTGTCGTACACTTTACTCTTGAGGTAGCCCCATAAAAAGAAGTCCATTGTGGTCAAATCTGGACTACGTGGTGGCCAGGAAATGTCTCCTCTTCGAGAAATTACTTTGCTGGGAAAAAGTTGACAGATGACATAGGGCATAGAAGTGTTGGAGGTGTGGGCAGTTGCTCCGTCCTGTTGAAACCAGGTCTGCGTATTAAAGCCTGGAAAATTCTGCAACGCTGGTGTCAAAAACTCTTGTATCATTGCTACATACTGCTTCGAAGTAACAGTTAATGCGCGACCTCTGTCGTCCTCAAAAAAATAATGGCCTAAGATGCCATGCGCTGACATAGCAGCCCAAACTGTAACTTTAGGGCTGTGTAAGGGCTTCTGATGCTTACGCCTTGGATTTTCGGGGCTCCAATAACGGCAATTTTGTTTATTTACATGCCCGTTTAAATGGAAGTGAGCCTCGTCCGAGAACAACACATTAATGAGCGAAGAAAATCGATTCAACATTTCATTCGCAAAGTTTAGTCTCTGAATAGCGTCATTATCTTTTAATTCCTGCACTAACTGAATTTTGTAAGCGTGCAGACGTAAATCTTTCCTTAAAATCCGCTGTAAAGATGTTCTGGGCACGTTTAGTGCACTGGAACGCTTACGAGTAGACTGGGTAGGATTTTGACGAACAGACTGTGCCACAATGTTGATGTTTTCTTCAATACGAGTTGTCCTTGGTCGACCCCACCGCTGTTTATCTAACGTCGAACCAGTCTCTTCGAACTTAGCAACCCAGTTCTTAATCGTTTGAGCTGTTGGACACTTTGTAAAATTGTGTAAATTGTGGTATTCTCGATATTTACGCCGCGCAATGGTTGCCGAATCATTATTTTGATAAAACGCGCGCACACAAAAAGCATGATCCGCTCCAGTGAAACACTCCATGGCGACTGAATTCCCAGACACTGAAGATACTGCCCCCACCTCGCCTGCGCCGCTCACGCTCACCCGTTAAATTTTATTCAAATTTGAAATTTCAAAGGACTTATGGACCACCCTGTATAAGAGGAGAACTAACGTTAGACGGTTTAAAAATCGGATTAACAAAGTTTCTTTGAGATCTGTATAGCAGTAGCGGTGCCTTGGCATTCGGACTTCTGCCTGCGCTGCTGCTTCCCCTTAAAAAAATCCACCAAGGCTGGATATCAACTCAATTGTCCTGACTGTTGTTCCTGATAAAATTTTTAGCAGGGAGCTTTTTGCAGAATGTCAAAGTTGTCAACTCCGATGTTCATCCAGTCTTCTATGCTGGAGTGAGATAGTTACAATATGTATACGAGATTAAGTGTTATCTCTTTCCCACATGAGGTTGGTTTTAAAGCACTGATATCTAGTCACGGATTCAGATTACTAGATAATAATCTACTGCTGAAAATTGTCTCTCCCACAACGAATTGTAGTGAAAAACTAAGTACAAAGAACTTGCAGCGGTTCGGCGCGAATATCTTCAAATTCAAAATTAGAAAGTACCGCTAACAAAGCCTTGCGAGTCGTTTACCTTCCTACCTTGAGCACTACCGACTGTACCACTCGCGTCTCGCGGTTCCTGTTGACCATTTAGTACCGTTGTCTGCGTCGTCGAAAGCACAAGAAGTGTCAGACTTTCAAGGAATCGCTCGCGGTTTCAGCGTGAAACAAACTTGAAGCTCCTATCTGTCAACCGCGATCAATGTTTCAACAAACTGAGTATCACTCCTCCAAAGTGTTGCATTTTCACCTGTCGTCAGTCTTAAATGATTAAGGTAAAGCTTTTGTTTCTTTTTATCCGATGACACTGAGTTAAATGTCGTGGTCTACTGTGCTACTTGTAAGTAGGCAAACTTCATTCGCATTCCGAGCGTCAGCTGTTTTTGGTAAAGTAGATAAGATGAAAGTTGCGATAAGCGAAACCGACTAATTTGATGGTAGTTTGCGATATTTTACAAGAATCCACGAATTCGTTGAAGTGTGCAATATGCTTTGGAAATCAATGTACGGTTTTGTAACAAATGGCTTTTTAATTTTATGAAGTAATTCCTGGTGAAGACAACAAATAGACGGAAAAGCTTGAGCTTATGGAAGTTGGGGGTTACAGGTGGAAAGCTTTGTATGTTCAATGGTCCATGAAAAGTAGCTAATAAAGTCATTAGGTTCGGGAACAGCTAATAGATAATAATAAGCATTTGCCTTAGAATATTTGAGTACGAGCATATACAGGGTGTCCCAGAAGTCGACGTCAACCGAAACCGAGTGATAGGCAAAGTCATAACCGCTATCAGAAAAATATTTAAAAAAATGTTTTGAAAATTATAGGTCTTTGAAAAAGATAGAAATTTCACACCCTACGGCAGTCTGTCAACTCCTGTTACTACAAATATTAACTTTTTTTGGATTTTATTTTCACAATGTAATGATGAATAATGCATCTTCAAACTGGTGTCTCAACCTTACTGCTAACTTTTCTCGTTCAGGAAAAATTGCCACTTATTTCCCAACCAAGTATTCCAAAGTAAAACTTTGCCCAACTTTAACTGGCTGTACTGGAAAAAATGTACTACGAGAGTTTGGCAAGTAACCTTAAAAGTTGGCGCATTTAATAAGGATTCCAAAATGGTATAACACTTAGAAGATTACTCGTTAACTTATGTACAATTTTTATTTGAAGAAAAACTGATGAAAATTTTTCAAAATTTCCTAATTAAACAGCGATTATGAAAACGCACAAGGACCCTTAAGGATAACTGTTTGCACAACAGTGGGCGTCAAAATGCTGCTGATGATGATTTACCTTTACAGCAAATGCTCAAACTGTTTTCCTTCAGCCGCAATACACGCTCGACATCTTCTTAAAAAAGATCAGGGTTATTAAACGAGCGAATCCACGGTTATTAACAAACTCAGCTGCTTCCAATAGTCTTTGCCGTAGCTCAGCTACATTTTGAATCGGCTTGAAATACACTTTTTACACTGAGATAAGGCGGTCTGGTACAATACCGTGGCCAGCCCGATCACCTGATTTGAATCCTTTAGATTTTTTTACTGGGGAACTGTAAAAGCCGATTCAAAATGTAGGTGAGCTACGACAAAGACTATTGGAAGCAGCTGAGTTTGTTAATAACCGTGGATTCGGTCGCTGAATAACCCGATCTTTTTTAAGAAGATGTCGAGCGTGTATTGCGGCTGAAGGAAAACAGTCTGAGCATTTGCTGAAGGTAGCAGCAGCATTTTGACGCCCACTGTTGTGCAAACAGTTATTCTTAAGGGTCTTTGTGCGTTTTCATAATCGCTGTTTAATTAGGAAATTTTGAAAAATTTTCATCAGTTTTTTTTCAAATAAAAATTGTGCATAAGTTAACGAGTAATCTTCTAAGTGTTATACCATTTTCGAATCGTTATTAAATGCGACAACTTTCAAGGTTACTTGCCAAACTCTCGTAGTACATTTTTTTCCAGTACAGCCAGTTAAAGTTGAGCAAAGTTCTACTTTGGAATACTTGGTTGGGAAATAAGTGGCAATTTTTCCTGAACGAGAAAAGTTGGCAGTAAGGTTGAGACACCAGTTTGAAGATGCATTATTCATCATTACATTGTAAAAATAAAATCCAAAATAAGTTAATATTTGTAGTAACAGGAATTGACAGACTGCCGTAGGGTGTGAAATTTCTATATCTTTTTCATAGACCTATAATTTTCAAAACACATACATACAATTTTTTTAAATATTTTTCTGATAGCTGTTATGATTTTGCCTGTCACCCGGTTTCGGCTTGACGTCGACTTCTGGGACACCCTGTATATGAGATGTATGGAAACAATGAGTAACCACATAGTTTAGAGAGTGTTTTTGAAGGCATACCCTACTTATTCCTCGTCACACCACGGCAATCTTTGCCAGAAGCTTTTCCTTTAGTGCCGCTGAGCTGTACAACTCCTTGCAAAATGATCTTAAAGACCTGACACCTATCAACTTCAAAAAAGATTGAAGTACTTGCTGAACAGTTAGTTAATGTCGTAGTTACTTAGGCCCGTATCGTCAGTCGTCCCTACAATTGTAGGGTGCGTTTATGGCCTCCTTGATTGTCATACTCCTTTCTCTCCTTCAAAAATTTCTAGATTACACTCGTCCCGTGTCAGCGTCAGCGCTTTAGTATTGTTAAGATATACTAAGTGACATATAAATCCGAACACCCAGTTTAAATGGTTTTATTTTAATAAAATTTTGTATAAGTACTTAATGAAGCATAATAAGTAAATGATAAAAATTTCAAAATGATTGCACTGCTTTAAAGCCCTTTGACCTTTAATAATGTGTGGATGCACCCTGATGTGCTACGCATTCTCCAACGCGCCTAGGCACGCTTCTGATCAGGTGGTTAATGTCCTCCTGTGGTATCTCATTCCAGGCAACCACCAACTCCTCTCGAAGTGCTTCTAGAGTCTGAGGAGGACGTTGCAAATTGAGCAATCTCCTACCCATCATATTCCACACGTGCTCAATTGGGGATCAGTCGGGAGATCTTGGTGGCCATGGTAACAATGTGACATCATTATGTTGAAAGAAGTCTATTGTGACTCTTGCAACATGTGGTCGGGCATTATCTTGTTGGAAAGTTGGATCTGCCAGGGTGTCAAGATAGGGTAAAAGATGGGGTTCTAGAACTTCGTGGATATAACGCTGCGCGTTTATGTTACCTCTGATGAAGATTAAAGGTGACCTGGAACCATAAGCTATAGCACCCCAAACCATAACTCCAACAGTGTGATGAACATGTCTTTCAACAAAAAACTGTGGATTCCTCCTTTCACCACGTCGCCTTCTAACCCTGGCACGACCATCGTGCATGCCTAAACAAAATCGAGACTCGTCACTAAAGACAATACTGTTCCATTCCTGATCCCAGAGTGACCGTTGTCTGCACCACTCAGGTCTCCGTACTCTAGGCATCGTAACCGATCGTAAATGATGTCAAGAACCAAAATCCGCCAACGTTGATTCTTTATTGCGGCTGAGATATTCATTTTTAAAGCGTTAGTGAATTAAAAAAAGCAGTATAAAAACCGGAATGTACATTCACCATCTTTTATTAAAATAAAACCATTTAAACTGGGTGTTTTATATGTCACTTAGTATATTAAAGTCTACTTTAAGCTTTAAATCAATAGATCTTCAAAACTACTGTACATGTATTTTACATCATTATAAAGGGAACTGAAAGACCTTTAAAATAAGGTATCACTCGACCCCCCTTTCCATTTAAGATTTTAGGGTTGGTGTCACCCCCGCCAAGAAGGCTGCACATGTTAACGTGATTTTTTGCGATACTTGTGTCCCCCTCGAAAAAAAAATCGACGGGTCTGAGCGTTTTTCCAAAAAAAATTAGCTACCAGTAAATGCGTCTGTTTCGTTTGCGATGCGCCACCCTGTATACATATATGAAAGTGAATTACTTACAAGCCAGGTTATTTGAGAAAAAATATAAGTGGTTGAGAACAGTGTAGACAAAAACAGAAAAGTTTGACATCATCTATCTTGAAAAAAAAGCATCACCGGATGGATCTTTGATTGTATAGACTTTTCTTCGTAGGATTACACCTTAAAGTACTTTATCAATGCCCTGTATACATGTAGATGGGGCAATTTCAAAGTTGCTGATAATTAAAGTAAAGCTTTTCTTTTATACAAAAAGTAAACAAAAGATTGCTAGCAAGCTTTACAGTCGAGAATTTATATTCTTGACTATATTGTGTTAGTATCCTCATACGGTTTTTGTTTTGCTATCCAGGTAAAAGAGTCTAATTCAGAAATTCCTCAAGCCGTAACCATGAAATAGTTTTGTCATTCTGGATTCCTCAACTCGAAGCTCCTTATACACTCGGAAGTATAGGCAGCTTCCTGTTATTATTTATCTTTCACTGATTATTTTTAATTGCAAGTAGAGAATTATTACGCGATTAAATTTCTAATATAAGTATAAACAATTTAATATATGACACCAGTTGGTTACTGCACCAGTACAACGACACATATTTGCATACGGGCAATAAACTACATTAAGTGAAACTTTTTCTCATATAACGGTACTGTATACTTTTCACTGAAGTTAACTAGCAGTCCAAATTACGCGTGCCATGAAAATTGCCTTCAGTTCTTCCCACGTACGTCATCTCATCTACGGATAGTTTTCAGTTTTCACGGCAAATCAGCCGAGGATTTCTCTACACCACAATCAGTGTAGCCGATCTCAATTCAGGGTTTGGATTTGGAATAGCATGAGAAGCATTCTCTCATGCTTCTGCTATTGATTCCGCGCTGTATTATCGTTTGTTCTTCGGCGATTTAGCGGTAGGAAAGTAGATCTTGTAAATTGAGTGATTACGGTGCATTGTAACCCAGTTTAATGGGTTTCTGAGCTTAGAACAATAATTTACGTTGACGTCCAGGTGCTATGCGATTGGGAAATCTTCTTTGACACAAAATGCATGTCAGTTAGTTCTCTGTCTGTAAATCTTGGCATTTTAAATCGATTTAATAAAAATTTTGATTTTAATCTAGTAATTTTACACTGCTAACAATGTCAGCCTAACGTCAAAATAAGTCATAACAAATCAAAACAACTTTTGTTTGCAGTCATGGCTAACTATGTATAATCAACAATTCATTTAAATTCGCAGTACATTTCCTATCATGTGACAAATTTTTTAGTTTGATTTTATTCAAAAATGGCACAATTTATCCATATTTTTTTTTATATCGAAACAGCCG